GGAATATTGGTTCATATCATTTATCTAGCTTCCATATTTGATATTTATTTTACTTCTCCACTAGTTCATGGTATGACGCCTCACAAATCAACTCTTGAACCGCCAGCTAAGAGGCTAGTGTTATTTGTTGCTGACGGTTTGAGAGCGGACAAATTTTTTGAACTCGATCAACGCGGAAAAAGTCGTGCTCCATACCTTAGAGATTTGATAGAGAAGAAAGCAAGCTGGGGTGTGTCACACACAAGAGTTCCTACAGAGTCACGTCCTGGACATGTTGCCCTTATAGCTGGATTTTATGAGGATGTGAGCGCTGTCGCTAAAGGTTTGTGAAAATTTATTGGAATATTTGCGCGCGCGTCAACCCAAATTATAAATAAAACTAATTTTATCACAATTTAAGCTTACTTATGAGGGAACTCAGTGGTTAGTCCCCATATAAAGTTGGTTTCAACAGTTCCCGAGGGTAACGTAAGATCTGAGGCCAAAATGTGTTTTTTTTCTTTTTCTTTCTTTTTTTTTTTCAGCGGGAATGGGTGGGGGTTACTTGTCACTTTTTGGGCTGAGAGAATGGCTTTTGTGCTGGTTTGTCGTTTTGCAGAGCATCTGTGTCCATGGCATTTTTGTTTTGATTGGTCCTCATATTCTTTGATGGCCTTAGATCAAGGATAAATTGAGCCATAACATATATGCTACAAGTTAAAATTAAATTCAGGTTAAATTTTTTAACCTAGGTTGATTCTCAATTTCCTTTGTCTCATAACCCCAATTATTCATGAGTTCAGGCTAAGAGACAAAGGAAATTGAGAATCAACCAAGGTTAAAAAATTTTAACCAGAATTTAATTTTAACCTGTCTCATTTATAGATGTAGGGCCAGTTATTTCAATGGAGTTTAACCAGTGTTTAACAAAATCGTGTTCTAAGTCATTTTCAGTTTACCCAATGCTTTTATCTAAGCACCATTTGTTGTGAACAGTTTCATTAAAGCATATAGTGGAGACTAAAAAAACATTTATCTTCTTAACTTGACCCACTAAAGAAGATATCTGGAGATCCAAAGATTTCTTAAACCGTGGTCTAAGTTAGACCTCGTTTTAATAACCAACCTGTAATGGCCTAGCCTTGTTGATAAGGTGTGGTTAAAAATTTATTTGTTGTAGGGGTTTTCAAACCAGTTCAATTTTTTCCCTCCTTGTTCTAGTTTTGTATGAATTATGGCAGTTTTCATACTAAAGGACAAATCGTCTGGATGGACAAATCATCTAGTGTGAAAATTGGACAAAGAAAATTTTAGACACCAGTTTGCAGATTTTGTTTGCCATTTTGTCCATCCTTCTTCTTTTTCTTTGTCAATATTTTGCCTAGACAGACAAGTTGTCAAAAGACAGACCTAAATTCAGGCCAGATTAAAAAATGGCTGATGTCCTGTCTGTCCAGAAAAAAAATGGTCACTGTAAAATAGGCCCTTGTCTAAAAATGATTAAGTCCAATAGTGGCTTCATAGAGCAAGTGTGCACAGTTCACTCTTTCCAAGGCAGGCACTATTGGGATTAGATGGAATTGTCCAATCTAGACAGCCAAAGAAAATGACTGAAGTACATGGCAAGGGTCAACTGTAGGTATCTCTTTTAGAGAGGGTGTCTTTTAGAGGGGTCTATAAAGAGAGGGGGTACATAGATTTTTCAATTAATATTGTTAATTTCCTGTTTTATGTAATACTTGCTACAGGCTGGAAAGAAAACCCAGTAGAGTTTGATTCCACATTCAATGAAAGCCGCTACACATGGGCCTGGGGAAGCCCTGATATTTTACCAATGTTTGCCAAGGGAGCCTCTGGAGATCATGTGTTTACTTCCATGTACCCAGATGTTGCAGAGGATTTTGCAGATGAAGATGCTGCTAAACTTGACACCTGGGTGTTTGATGAGGTCAGGGGATTCTTTGATGGTGCAAGAACTAATGAAACACTGAAGAAGATGCTTTTTCAAGGACAAATTGTATTTTTTCTCCACCTCCTAGGTTGGTTGCTTGAAGAAGTTTCTATTTAAATTCATCAATAGCTTTGATTCTCACTTGTTCAACATATTGTTTAAGAATTTTTTTATTGTGTAGTTTTACTTGTATTTGACACTGAGCATTCCTTACATACACTGTTTACGGGTATACCCATTACAACTCCTGGAGGAAGATCATGAGGTTATCCCTATATTAAAATCTCCCCTCACAGATAACCCACCCAGTCCAGGAAAGGTTATCCACACCTCCAGGGTCCACATCTCCTATTCTTTTCAGTGGTGTGGGTCTTTTATGTTCCACAAGAACCAGATAGATGAAAGTAATGTGAGACGAGACCTATGGTTTTTCGTCCTTATCTGAGAAGACTAGAAACTCTAACTGTTTTCAGATGTCATTACAAAGGCAGGACTTTCTTCTTAGTTATTTAGAGACTCTGACCGATGACCGGTGCTCTCTCATCTGAGCTAACCAGACCGTGGGTCCTACTCATTTTGAGCTGAAACAAAAAATACTTTTAAATGTTGAGCACTTCAACGAAACCATACCTGACATTAGACCATAATGGGCAAAATCTATGCCTTTTTTCATACCAAAACTAAAACACTATACCCTTTGGGGTGGCACATACGCATATACCTTATATAGGGGAGTTTCCCTTCCCCCTGCCCTCCCCAGGGTCATGGGATGGCCATAAAATGATGCATGTGAGTCAGTCAAATTAGTGATAAATCAACGACATTGTCTATCAGTATAGTCAAATCTCCAGTAAGCAACCATCATCTAGTGTTTGGTGATGGAGTTTATGAGATTATTGCTTAAAAGTAGGTCCAACTATGGTGGTGCTTTGACTGGAAAAACTGATTTCTTTTATTTTGGATGGGTGGTCCTTCATCAGGGCAATCAGAAGTAGCCTGTTCCAGGCTCTCAGATAGTGGGGAAGACGCAAAAGTGTAGGGTGCAGTTTCCTCGCGTTTTTTTTTTGAGTTTGTGCTTTCTCAATTCCGCTGGCTTGACTATCTCGGAGCCTGGAACAGGCTAAATGAGAAGTGGTTGCACATGAAGGTTCAGCTGTCCATTTAAAATTTTAGTATTGTTTTTTTCATTTACTTAGTGCAGCATTAGTGTTGTGAGACTAGTTGTGCCCACTTATTACAGTCAATTCAGGGTGTCCATTTAATAATTTTACATACTTAAAATACTTCATGTAAGTGAATTAGAATTAAAAGATAAGTGTATCTTTGAAAAAAGAATGCTTAACAGGACTTTTTTGAATAGGAATAGACACTAACGGCCATGCCCACAGGCCAACCTCGCAAGAATACCTCAAGAATATTGCTGTAGTTGATGCAGGAATAAAAGAAATTGAAAAACTGATCGAAGATTTTTATGGCCATGATGGTCAGACAGCTTATGTAATGACAGCTGATCATGGTATGACCAACTGGGGATCTCATGGAGCAGGGCATCCTCACGAGACACTGACACCGTTACTAGCATGGGGGGCTGGAGTGCGTGTTGCCCAAGCTCCAGAAAACAACAGTCACATCCCAGATGTAATGTATGAGTGGAAGCTGGCTCATCTGTCTCGTAAAGATGTCAGTCAAGCAGATATTGCACCCCTGATGACTTCTCTGATTGGTAGGTTTTAGAGGAGTTGTGTGTTGATTGTGTGTTGTGTGTTGAAATGTAGAGGATATGGTAAATTTAAACATGCATTATGTACTGAAAAGCAGGGCTGACAAATAATAATAATAGTAATAATAATGATAATAATCTTTATTCAATCGATAAAATACATATCGAAGGTTACAAAAGTCATAAAAATTAAGTGACATTAAAAATTACAGTTAAAGTAGAATCATATTGCTAAGTTAAGCTAAGCTAAGTTATAATTAAAGCATAGCCTAATTACGAAACAGTTCTTAAAGCGCTCAGTGTTAACTAAACGCATAGTTGAAATGTCAGTCTTATGATTGATCCATGTTGTTAGTGTGTAGGATTTGTCTGAAAAAAATTATTGATAAGGTCCACTGTTATTTCATTCTATCATCAGGTGTCCCGTTTCCTCTGAACTCTGTGGGAGTTTTACCAGTGGAATATTTGAACAACACAGAACAGTACATTGCTGAAAACTTGTTCATGAATGCACAACAGATTCTTGCACAGTATGAAGTGAAGGAACTCTTCAGGAAAAAGACATCATTGTTGTTTCGGCCTTTCACCTCTTTGGCAGGTAAAGGAACAAGAGGTTTATATTAGTCAGTCGTTACGTTAAAAAGATGTTTAAACCACTTGACCCTTTTTTCCACATTTTTTTCCAACTTTCAATTCCATTTTAATTGTCTGGCTGATCCAACTGATACTTTCAGAATCTGTTAGAAGATGCAGAACTCCCTAACATTTTGTTTCCCTCTGAAATGGGGACATTTGACCTCTAAGGTGTTGCTAGTGCGTTATTTGCAGGGTATTTAATTTATTGTCTCAGCTAGGTCTATAATGTCAATACTTTTAATGCTTCTTATTCTCTATCTTTAATAGATATGGGCTTGCTGTGAAAGTAAGTTTGAAGATTCATGTACAGTGGCAGAAAAATGCTATTCATCGGGGATTGATTTCCTTTTTGGATACTCCCCCAGGCTTACAAAACTTTCCCTGGCAATTTTCGTAAACGGTATTGATTTAAATGCAAACAGAAAAGTCATGTGAACTAAAAGCTATTATCTGGCCACCTTGCATTCATGGTGCATTTGTTCGTCTTTTTTTTAGGTGCAAAGAAAACCGGAATGATCCGTAACATAAAGGAATTCTTGCGAAGCAAAAAGTATGAAGAAGTTATCAGCCTGAGTAGGGAACTTATCCAGCTTTCTTTAGATGGACTCAGTTATTATCAGAATTATGATCGTGTTTTCTTGAATTTGATGGTCACTCTTGGGTTTTTAGGCTGGATATTCTGCATAGTTCTACAGATTATCGAAGACCATAGTGATATCCTAAAAGAAGCTTCCAAGCTGCGAAACAAACAATATCATGCTTTGGTTAAATCTTTTACGGTGGACAGTACATCTCTTGGTTTAGGCATTGTTATAGTTCTGTTATTGCTTATTCAAAAAGCTCCGTGCATGTACCATAGTTATTGCTTATTGCCGTTAGTTTTTTGGAACCGCATTGCTAAAAGACTTCACATGGTGCATGCTGCTTTGGATTACATCCATGCGAAGAAACTGCAAAGTAGAGTTTTTTTTACATTGATGTTTGGTGCAGTCTCCTTAGAGATTCTTGTAATGAGTTTCTTTAGGCGTGAAATTCTGTCAGTTGGCTTGGTTTGCCTGGCTGTTTGGCCGTTCAGTAACACGCTGTTTACAAACTGTAAGCTGTCAGTAGCCTGTTGGATGGTACTTAGCCTCGCACTGTCTGTGTTCCCAATGCTTCCAGTAGTTGGTCGTGAAGCAAACTACATGTTAGTCTCCGTGGCGGGAGTAATAACTTTGGTTTTGTTCACTGTCATGTTGCTTTATATCTCAAACACTTTAAGTCTCCTCAAGACAGAAATATCAAAATCTTGGAGAATTTTGCTTCCTCAAGTGACGCTTGTGATTCTGGCAGTGTACATTGTCAATAGCACCGCATCAAACCTGCAGCTGAAACTTGGCCTCCCAGTCATCAACCAAATTGGAAGCTGGACAATTTTCGTGTCTTCGTTTTTGCTGCCTCTTATCAATTCCAGTAATTTGGTCATCAGATTTTCCAGTATAGCCATTGCGTTTTCCTCAGTTTATTTGCTAATGAGTACCGCTTATGAAGGGCTGTTTTTGCTAGCCCTTTCCTTACTTATGGGAGCGTGGATTTTGTGTGAACACAAACTGTCAGGTAAAACGCTGAACTCACTCTTAGAGACCCAACTGAATTATGAAAGCTCTACAACAACACATCAGCCAGCCTGGAAGGTTCTCACAGAAGGACTAAACTCTCCTGTCATTAGAAAACTCACCCTAGAAGATCTTCGTTGCGCTTATTTCTTTGTCTTCTTCATAATCGTAGCTTTTTTTGGAACTGGCAACATTGCAAGCATTAACAGTTTCGATCCAGCATCAGTGTATTGTTTCCTAACAGTATTTTCACCATTTGTTATGGGTAGTTTGCTCCTCTGTAAGGTTCTTATTCCGTTTGTGATTGTATCATGTGCGTTTGATGCCATACACGTGGTTTTGTCAATTCCAGTGCAGAGTCTTGTGCTTGTTGTTCTAGTGATGACAGATCTTATGGGACTGCATTTCTTTTATCTTGTGAAGGATTCAGGAAGCTGGCTTGATATAGGAACAAGTATCAGTCATTATGTAATTATGATGGCCTTTATTATATTCCTGCTTCCAATATTTGGATTAGCAAGACTTTTTACTGGAGCGTCTCTCTCGCTGGGCATGAGCAAGAAAAAAGCATGACTTAGAGGCTTTTTGGGCGAGGGTTAAAATACCAACTTGTCAAAAAACATTGTGAAATTTTTGTTACCAAATAAGCTGGATAAACGTGAAGACGCCTCTAAACAACTGAGTCAGAATACTCCCAGAGTAATTTTATGATAAGGCACAGACTGATATGCGTAATCTGATACTCAGATCTCGTACTGACAAAGGCTGCTTTGTCAACAAGAGATCTGGGTACGAGATTATGGTGTGCGTAGATTGCGGGATAAGTGGGCGAGTGCTGTAATGGTTCTGGCGGTCTCGCTTCTTCGCCGCTAGCGAAAATCCCTCGCAGCTTGAGCGCTTGCTTCGCGTGGCAGCTCCGCCTCCTAGAAAATACCCTGGCAGGAGTGACCCTGCGCATAACAATTCCGCCAGCTACGCAGGCTAGGTACAGGCGTGTGGGCAGACTATACCTAAACGGAGTTCAAAAGAGAAGAAGCAAGGATATGGTGGGGAGGGGGGAGAAGCGGATAGGGCGAAATGTTCTTTTTCCCCTCTCCACCCGGCATTCTTTTGTTTGTTTCTCTCCGCAACGTAAGCTTTTGCCTCTGGTATCTCGTTAGTGGATGACAATAAAAAACAGGCTTATTCTAAGTAGTTGTGGAGTGGTTCTTCTTTTAAACATGTTTTCTTGATTCTGTTTTTCAGAATCAAGACATGACTAGTCCGGTTCCACGCAGCCGTTTTTAGTGTCGTCGCGCAACGCTCTTAAGACATGACAATTACAATTTTTTTCTGAAATTTAAACACGGGACCACACCCATACCTAATTTTTCCGTAAGATCGTCAAGCGCTTTGCGTTAAGGGCAGCCATCTTGGACGAGTGTTAAAACTACTCAGGGGGCGGAGGGCGGTTTGGGAGGAAGTGAGAAAATAGAGGGTCCTTCTATTTTGCTTGCTTCCTTCCAAATCGCCCCCCGCCCCTTAAGTTTTTTTTGACACTCATCCAAGATGGCTTCCCGTAACCCAAAGCGCTCGACGATCTTACGGAAAAATAGGGGACTGTGACCAGTCTACCAAGACAGCGGCTCCACAATGAATCCAATGATTTTCAGTGCACAAAGTAGAGGGGCTGTACACAGTTAACAGGAAAAAAAACAGCATTGTTTGTTACGTTCCTAGCCTCTTATTCTCCTCTCCTATTATCCGTAAACCTGGGTTCTTGTTTTCATTTCTTCGCGCCAAACAAAATAGCGAATTTAGACGGAGGAGAACCATAGGTTTATCAGTTTTCACTGTACCGTGCTACCCTCATAAAATATAGTTATGTTATTATTACACTAGTCTTAGTAGGGAGTGTATTCTACTTTGGGTTAATTATTTCAGATTCCTAAAAGAAAGGAAAAGAACCACTTGTTTTAGTTTATTTCGATTTTACTTCATACGTGCGCGTACAAAACACCGAAAGAATTAGAGAAATTTAGAATCACGTTCACGGCAACGGAAATTTTTACCACGTGACCAAGTTTTCCCCTTATTTGCTTTCAACTGTTCTTTATTACTTTCTCATCAATTTCGTTCATAAGGATTGTTTTGTACCGTTTTTATCAGCTTATTTTCTATTTTGAGATCAACATAAATCTGCCGTTCGCCGTAACCGTGAGTCTAAATCTAAACCCAAACGTGAAGATCACCGTCGTTACAGTTGCATCTTTTGTAGTTGCGAAAAGATAGACTGAAAAATTTAGGCTCATAAGGGATTCGAAGCCTAGACCACTGCGATTATCTTCTTCCCATTTAATTCTTCCTCCCGCAGTTATATTATATGCATATGATTCACTAAAGAGTGAAAACAAGGTCATCACAGTTTTTCGACCGTTTCCCACAGAAGTCAACTGTTTGCCATACCCAAAAATCATTAGTTGTTTTTTCAAAGTGGAACTTTTGTCGAGAAAGTGTTTGCAGATTGAAGCCTTTAATAAATTAACGCCAGGTGAATATATTCATGTAATGGGTATATAGTCTAACTCTGAACCTAATAAATGGAGAACATCGGTCGAACAAATGCCCGCGTTCAACAGAAAGGATAAAATCTCTACCTACTCCAAAGTTAAAATGGAAACGTGAGTAATCAAACGGGTAAGCTGAACGACGATAATACAAAACGTAACTTTCGGGTGTGGATATAAAGGGAAGAAGAAACATCTTTACAAAAATGCTCGTTCTCTCGCTAAAATAGCAAAATTTCGCTTTCTTTAGGATGTTACTAGCGAGCACGACAAAACTATAAGAGGGAGAACCAAAAAGGGCTGCTGGTCAAATCCTTCTGGACACTTAAAACCGCGGTAACGCTGGCTTCACTAATTTGTCGAACAGTTTTAGTATAGCTTGGCCTTTTGTTGTGCCCTATAACTCCGCGTTCGTGTTTTGGTAAGAAAAGTAGAAGGAAAAGCGGGGGTCGTTGAATTTAGGCCGCACTTTGAGGAACAGGTGACGAAACTTCCCACAAAAATGACTCGAAAGCGATACATAAATGTTTGTTTTAATTGACGGCTTCGGACAATTATTATTCTCAATCATTGTTGAAATAAATAAATAAATATCTTTTTCAGTCTCTTTGTCTTTTAATTTTTTTTTTGTCTATAAGACACCTGCCGGCAGGACGGACACGTTCCTAACACAGGCATATACTGAAGCGCTCGGTCCAGGCTATTCAGTCATTTCTTTTACTCTCTATAGCAGACACCTCCTTTAGAAAGACACTTGGTACTAGTGTTCTTCTTAGAGATAGCTGACAGTAAGTCAGTATCATTATCATCTGAAGAATTATGGAGATCGAGACCCTCTGAATTATCCGTGGGATTTTAGACAATGAGAAACGGAGAAATATTTTGAATGAATAATAATGTACAGCAACAATCATTTGAAAATATCATGATAAACAGTCAGTGTCGGCATTAGTGGAAAAATTTCTTTGTCCTGTACCAGTTGTGTATCAGAGTCCATTCTTTGAACTAGTATCTTAGTAATCTTTTATTGTAGTAAAAGAAAACGTCTTGGGCACAGTACATGTTTACAGCAGTTGGGGTGTATCAGACGTCAACTTAATTAACATCTTATTCTGTTTCATAGTTATAATTAAAATAACCAATGACCTTGTGTCCTACGTTGCAGTATGGAATAAGAGGTCCCTTTTCAATACCCAGAATAATAATACTAAAATAAATATATACGCATGATGATGACACTCTAATAAAAGGATGCGGTACTTGACGATCGTCAAAGTGATTTCGCCACAACAGGATGTACTGCTTTAATTTCCCTAACAGTCATTGGTAATAAATGATCGTGTTCATCAACGTGCTTGATAATTGGTGTGATGGCACAGTACGGCATGTGACAGTGAGGTCTGTTAAGAGCAGGATAGTACTGCCGATAACAAAGATAGGCAAGGAACAAGCCTGTATGGAAGAAATAAAGAACAGTCACGTAAATTTACGAGACAAGTAACTTTAACTTTCAACCCATTCGTCCCTGAGCCGCCCGTAACCGTCCGTGCGGATTCACGTCCCTTTTAACTTTATGCAGTATAGCCCATTCCACCCTGTCCCCCTTACCGCTGGAGGCTCTGTTATTGAAAGGGTTGTGACCTATAAGCTCTTGGTGTCTATTTCTCTGATGACCTTTCATGGAATGCCCACATAGAGCACATAGTCAAAAAGGCCAACAAGCGTTTGTACGCATTGCGCGCGCTTAAAAAAAGTGGCCTCACTATCACGCAGCTAGTGCAAGTGTACTGTAGCGTTGTAAGATCTGTACTTGAATATGCCTGCCCTGTTTGGGCAGCCCTGCCAAAGTATTTAGATCACGTAATAGAATCTGTACAAAAAAGGGCCCTACGCATCGTTTTGCCGAACTGTCACTATGACGACGCCCTAATTCAATCTGGCATCACTGCCCTTTCCCAGAGAAGGGAGGAACCTTGCATTAATTTTATCCAGCGTGACTGCCTGTCATCTCCGGTACTCAAGCCATTAATTCCTTGTGTGTCAATTGACAGGCCATACTGCCTCCGTTCAGGCGTGCGCCTTGTCCCCAAGACAAAGCGATTCGCAGATTTCTGCACCGTTAAGTTTCAAGACCAGTTGTAATCCTGTGCTTTGTTATTTTTTCTCTGTTACGTTATGCTTTTAATCATATTTACATAATTATCTATTTGATTGTTTTTGTATTGTATTGTCTTCTGTTAGTGTCACTGACCTTCCTTGTAATTCAGCCTTTAGACTGCGAGAGGGATATCAGTAAACTATTATTATTATTATTATTATTATTATTACTATTATTACCGCTTGTGACGTCATCAGTTTTGATGTTCAAGGACAACTTTGTCCCCTAACTTGTGCAGAGTGAAGAGATCTTTCAAACCATACCAAATTGAGCACAATTCAGTCAAGGACACCGGAGAAAAAGGCAAAAAACCATGATACATTGCCCTGAAAGTTTCCATGTCCCACTACCCACCTACCTTTTCTTTGATCAGCAAAATTTCCAGGGGTGAATGGGTTAAAATAAAAAAAATAAAAAATCATGATCGTTCAACAAGAAAGGGGATTCACAGGTATTTTACATGGCGTTCAGATGGTGGAGAGTGGAAAGAGATGGAGAGTGGAGTGACAAAAGTAGAAGACAGGAAGAGGGAGTAAGGAGGGAACCCCATCCCACCCCTCCCCCCTGTTTTTTCCTGCTCACTTTTCTGTGCACCATCCCCACTATCTGAATGCCTGGAACTGGCTAAAGCAAACACTCTTTTGGCCTCAAAATGATTATTGCACTTACCTAGAATTCCACCAATTGTAATATCTGAAACAGGACAAACAACAGAAAGGTTACGTTTTGATCATACGACTGAAGTGTATGCCTCAAAATATTTGCGAATAAATTTAAAAAAAGAATAGGAAATCTGTAAGGTCAATAAGAAAACCATGGGTTGGTTGTATCACCAGAAACCCATAAGGGGTTGAATTCAACCCCTTATGGGTTTCTGGTATCACTCAATACGTATGCAAAAAATGGCATCCATCAAAAGAGGCATTTTTCTTATTGACAAGCTGACCTGATATGAGAACCAGTTTAGTTACAGAAAGTGTCCTAAACTCTACAATAATGCATCAGTTAATTCCACCTGCACCCAGCCCCCCCCCCCCCCCCCCCCCCCCCCCCCCCCCCCCNCTGCAACATTTTTCATTGATTGCACAGTCAAATAGCAACCATTTTAAGCATTTTAATGTGCGGTTTTTTCTGGGCACAGGTGGAATTGACTGATGCATAAAGTGGGATACACCTGTACCTTGCCAGTGATGTCGATAATCTGAATATCTAGTAAGTGCAAGAGCCAGAGCACATGTCACTGGAACTAAAGCAACACACAGCTTCCATCCTTGTCCTCGGCCCTGCGCCTGAAAGCAATGAAGCTTTCCAGCACAGTAAAGGGAGAGAAAACCCAGGCCACTAAATGCAACTATGACAATAAACAAAAGAAATGAGCAAAAACTGTGAAATGATTAGTCCTGTCCGACCATTATTAGACCCAAAAATACATTGTGAAGAATACAAACTGTTACATTGTGTACCATTAGTCTTGGTAAAACACATTCAGAGGGCTACATCGCTGATGTATCAGCAACGAAGAGTTGAAAACGTGTTTTGTTATTTACCAGTATGGAATCAGTTTAAGATTTTGATCATAAATACAGTAGAAACTCTCCCAATGGACGCTCCCATACATGGACAGCTCTACTTAAGGTCCCTTCACAAAGTCCCCGTTTTACTCAACTGCCACACAAACTCTGTATTTTTACATTCTTGTATGAGGCCCGAGCTCCAGTTACAGACAACTTTTTTCGCGTCCTGAGGGTGTCCGCTTAGAAGAGCTTCCACTGTATTTTTAACGGTATTCTAATCAATGATCTCTGCACCACTAATTTCTACCCACTGATCATAATAAAGCCAAATTACTACTGAATAGAACTAACATGATGAATGCCCACTTGGAAAGCTTTTTCTGCCTTCTTGAATCTCATCTGGATCTCCATCGCACTGCTGGGTTGGAGGAATACTCCCATTGGGGTAACAACGCCAGAAGAAGTCGGGCCGAGGCCTGCAAGATAATCCCATAATAGATCTTATTTGAGTTGTTGGCAATGTAATTCATGTAGTTTGATTTACTCTGTCTGATAATTTTGAATCAACTGGAGAGTGAACTTCAGGGTAGAGACAGTCACAAATTCCATGAGGTTCCACTGTACTTATATTATAGCTACTGTATTTTATGATTGTGGAAATAGTGCAACACAATGCTGATAAAACCTCAAAATGGCTGATATAGGAAGTAACAATGTTCCCAGAACAGTCCCGTGTTGGACTAATATTAATTTGGCACAACACCAACCCACTCATTCAGCCATATACCTGACCAAAAAAATGGTTCAGCTGAGTAGTAATTTGATATTCATTATAATACATTGGTTAACGTTGCACAAGGCTCTTGAAAGCATTTTCTGAAAGCCTTGTGTCATTGCTCTAGATGACAATCTATTCATTCCTATTTCTATCTCTTACCTGCCTACAAGAATTTTAATAATATTAGTCACATCTCCATTCAGTCCAAGAGTTAGGGACAAAGCTGGAAAAGATGGGAACAAAAAATCACTGATAATGAGTCAAACATGATTTATAAGATGGGTAATTAGGGAAAGTAAAGGCCTGGGCTGTGTTTCTTGAAAGTCCTAATAACATTTGGGGCCCAGAAAGCTGTTAAGTTTGCCCTGTTTGCATTCAAGATCAAAGTTTCAATAATTTTAAACGTGATAAAATGAAACTATCAGTTAACAAACCACTATAGACAAGTTTGTAAGCTGGGAACTATGGTACAAGTTAATAAATTGATTTTAAAATTTGCCTTTGGGCCCAAAAAGTTACCAGGCCTTTTCAAGAAACAGGATGCTGGTCAAACAGTCACAAAATTGGAACAACAGTAGATTACAACTTTATTTTGCAGAAGGCAAATGTTTTTTACTGTTTGACATTGTGACATTGTATGTTGTGACAAGCTGTGGGGTGTTTAAAGCGTTTTTGTTTGTCACACTATTTTCTTTGCTTTTGAAACTTGAAGCAGTTTGACCTGCTAGGCTTCAAACCCTTTTGTATTTACACTGTCAATTTCAGTGTTCCTGAGAGTGGATTTATTTACAACATATACATGGTACATGTACATATAGCTATCACATTTGCATGCTGGAATTTTCTCATTGTTTTTAATTTCTTTTACGATAAAGGTGTCAGCTACATGGGTATGCTGAAAATAAATCCACCCTAAGTTTCCCAAGTGATATCTGATAACCATGATTATCTATTTATAAACTGTTAGGGTAATGTTGTTCAACTGTTTGACCTGGCATGGTCTAACATCTCATGAGATTACAGGTATTCTCTTAGCTCAACTAGTGTTTTTCAAATAATGCTTATGTTATTACTGATCGAATGGTGCTTTAAAGTAAGACTCAGTAAAAAAGCAAACACATTATAAATGCCTACCAAGGATTGCTTGTGTGCCATCAACCTTGTCCTTGCGTAAAAATGCCAGAATTAAGATAAGAGCACTTGGAATGATTGCAGAAATTACCTAGTAAGAAAAAGTAGTGTTTGTTAAATGGCTGTCTGATGAGTGATACATTCTAAGCATTCTATAACAGCTGGAACTCGTTCAAGTGGCCACCCCTTATTAAGTGGCCAGTAATCAAAGTCCAGAAAAACTTATCATAAATTCAACCTCTGTTAAGTAGCCAACTCTTCTAAACAACTGTAGCTACCTTTTGGCTATCCTTATGTGAATTCTCCTATTGTTGTCATTTCTATAGCAGCCATGGAGCTTTAATTTAATTACTTACACATAGTTTGGCTTTGTTTCAAAAATAATTACAATAGGGAAAATACAGTCTGAGATAGAAGGTGACGACATATTATGGACCAATAAATAATGTAACGTTTCAGTTACAGACATGTCTGTCTTTTCTGGTTGTAAAGTTAATGCCATAGTTTCTAGTATTGTTCATGTCAAGTTAGGAGAGCCTCATCAAAACATTTTGAGGAGAATTTGCGTCTTTGAAACAATACTGTAATTTTGTTGAGTATAATTATAATTGTCTCTTGTGCAAACATTGATGAAAGCCTGGACAAGTGTTTTCTTCACAATTCAGAGACGTTTTGCCAAAGGTTATCCTAATTTCTGACAAAACTTTACTGAGGAGCCAAACTCCTTTCTGCAACAACTTCCAGTAAATCTGTTATCCCAAAGGGAAGCACTTTATGGAGGTTCCACTATAGTATCATGTGTATCAAAACATCACAGAGAACAGAAATGTAGTTTATTATTTATTAATTTCATTTCAACTGCAAGAAAGTCAGTGAGTCATTTCACCCCCAGAATTATCAAAACTACACCTGTAAACCTATCTAACAGGACTTGCATGATCTTCACTCAGACATGACCACATTAATCTACAATCAATCCATCAAAAAGTAGTGAAGCTCCCAGAGAAACTTACAAATAATATTTCTGTAGAAATAGTGTTCTTTGACTTAGGATTTTTATATAACCACATTTCCTCTTGGTGAATGACACGAACAAATGGCGCTGTATATTCAAGTGCCCTGAAAAGAGAAAAAATACCATTAATCGATAATATTATTCCCACTAGTGTGCTTATTGGTGTTTAGCCTACTGTGAAACTCAGAAAACTGCAAATATCAGTAATGTTCAGGGAATGTTATTAAATGTATGTGGCAAGGAAAACGTCATGCAGACATATGAAAACTAAATTGCTGGAAACAGTAGTAATTAGTTTTTAGTCTCTATTGCATATGCACACTTGCTGCTATTGGTCAGAAAATCATCGAATTGAAATATCGTCGGTGGTTTTAGATGGGGAGGGGGCTGTGGACGCCCCCTTTATATGAAACGTGTTAAAATATAGCAATCTCAGGAAAATCTGTCTTCTTTAAGCGCATTAAATTTTGGAGATGAAAGTTTGAGATACTCTTTCAGTTCATTAAGCAATAAATTAACAGAACCTTCTGTACTGGTAAGCCTCCCAGTCCTTCTTCCTGAATTTTCTGGCTTCACCCCTTCATATAACAAACACAGTGTTACACGCTCAAAATGTTCACAGTTATCTGAGTTTGACAGTAACAGGTTTGTCCTTTATTGTGACAATGATTATTGATAAGATGTACATTTAATCAGTTAATTAATCAATGGACAGAAAACTCACCAACCCTACCAATAAACTAATGAAAATGGATCAGTTTCTTTGTGAGATTTCCTATCACCTTTGTCTCCTGAGCTGCGTCCAATAAACAGCAATATAATCTATTATTTTATCTCAAGACAACAAGGTCAATTGCCTGTGTTGCAGCCGGACTTGATACTCGAGAGCTGGATAGAAAATTCGATAAACTCGGCGATTTAGACTGTTTGCATTGCAAGCGACGTAGGCTACGAGCCAAGAGTTAGAAAACCTGACAGAAACAGCTGTCAACAGATGATTTTAGTTGAGATCAGTTTATTGAAAGACCTTATGCATGTCTTGTATCTTCAGTTTTCATACAAGTATATTCTGTTTCGGGTAATTTGATTGACTGAATGCATTTGTGTATCTATTCCTCATTTAATACATGCGTGGAGTTCACCGGGTCTTCACGAATAGTCTACACGTCAACTATTTACCTTAGAAGAATTCATATATAAAAACCCAATTTTACGAGGAAGCTTAACCTCTGACAGAAAAAAAAACATAAAGGAATACAACTTACACAAATATAGCGAACAAGAGTATTCGTGCCCCGATTTCGGCCAGTAAATGATACGATCCATTCCTTAATTTGGCCGCCATCTTTGACATATTCTTTGGCAATATTTCTTTGGGAGTCCGCTGACTAAAGGATTTATTGGTAAGTTGGGCTCAGCTTTGTGAAGCCCCGTATGATTGGCTAAGATTTGTCACGTGAAGGGAAGGCCTGTCCGCCATTTTGCATTTTGAAATCTGAACTTCATGATTGTCCAGAATCATTTATTTAGTATAAATATTTCTTGGATCTTGGACTATGGATCAATTTGACGTGATAGCAAATCAACCTATTGTTATCGACAATGTAAGGTTAATTTTTTTACACATTTGTGGCGCCCTCAAAACTGTTTTCAAACTGCCATTGGATCGAGTTTTTTATTTACAAATCGGGGGTGGCTATCTAACTTTGAGTACTAAAGTCGTGATTCATTTACTTAGCATTGACTTTTGTTGTTCATAGGGATCAGGAGTCATTAAAGCTGGATTTGCAGGAGATCAGATTCCAAAATACCATTTTCCAAACTTGTAGGTATTTCCAAAGACAAATATAAGACTTGTGCAAACCCATTTCTGTGAAAACAATATTAAACAAAATTTAATACGCTTATTAAATGAAACAGGAATTTTATTAGCGTAGTTAAGGATCATTATTTCAATTTTCGAGTGATTGTATAAACTCTTATAATTGTTTTGAAGTAATTTCAAGAAATCAGAAGTCTTATTTCTAAGCTAAGTTGAATCACAGAGAAATTTTAGCTCTGTCTTTTCTTTGGATATCACTCTTATTTCACTTTTGTCAAGATGTGCCAGCTATATTAGGCTATTGGGATGAAATATTTTATTTCTGAGTTTTATGTAGATTGCTTTCTTTGGTTTTAGTGTTGGTCGACCTAAACATGTGCGGGTTATGGCTGGTGCACTAGAGGGTGATATATTTATTGGACCAAAAGCTGAGGTATGTGGAATGCTTCAGATGAAAACTGTCAAATCGTACTCAGGGCTCGAAATTAAAAAAAATTCTCCATCGCAATTTGCGAGTAATTCCTAAATTTAGTCACAAGTTCGAAAATTTTAGTCGCAAAAGTAACCAACCCAAACAAAATATAATACAAGTAATTTTATTACTCCAACAGCTTCTGTGAATTACTATTGAAAGGAAGGTAAATATTTACTTGCTGAATAAACAAATAAAATCTTCTGAATCGTTCACAGTTCAACGGTACCGGAAACACTATTGTCTCTAAAATGTAACATCCACAAATGCCTTCCGCAGCTAAATAACATCATACAATCCAAACTACTAACTTTTGTAAAAAAAAAGATAAGAATATAATTCAGTAGTTAGAGAATCAGAACATTTTAAAACTACATGATGCTTTACCAAGGGATCACAACGCAATCGTGCAAAGCTAAGCTTATAAGCGTATTTTAATAATACCAACAAAGTCTCACGGTGCAAAAATGATGGACTTAGTCTTTCTTTGAGAATTTGGCCCTACAAAACTAATTATTTACAGCATGATGATATGTTGCGCAAATTTTGTACCAGTCAAAGTCAGGATATCCTACAACTTCGACTTAACGCTCTCGCAGCGCCATGTTTGTCTTCATTTCATACCATTAGAAGCATCATGGTCACAATACAACTGCGCATTGAAATATAATTCACCTGTAACTAAGAGGCGCAATAATATTGCAAGAGATTCATTCCCGTGTAGAAGAATTGAAGTGGAATTAAACAAGCAGTCTCCGTTTGCCGTAGCTTTGATCGCACAAAAACATTCACCTTTGACCTGGTTGACACAGACGTCTGCTGGGATCAAACTGACGTGAAGTCATCGTGAGGAAGATTTTGAAGAATAAGGTCACTTGCAGTTCTAATCTCTTTTCTGAATACGTCTAGCTATCTCGTGAATATTCTCTTTGCCTCTTCTAAATTGTCATTAATGAGAAGAACCTTAATAGCGGATAATTCCTGGTCACTTACATGCATTGTGAAGCAAAGTAAACATGGTATACCGGAACCGGAAATTAGAAACGAAGATTTCCTAGAAATTTCATGAGCGTTGCACAACGTAGTTTCTGAAAAAGTCCGCCCGCGATATGTTTCTCAGCAAGAGATCAACGATAAAAGTCACGCAACATTTATTGAATTTCGCTGGATTTTTCGGATAAAACTACAGCAGCCAGTAACAAGTAAGACACAAGGCTGTTAAATATAATTTATTTATGAGCTAGGCTGTAAAACGGTCGCAAAATTGCTACCAATGGAGAAATTTTAGTCGCAAAAGCGAAATCTTCATTCGCAAATGCGCCCGATACAGGCGCAATTTCGGGCCCTGGTACTGTGAAGTATAATGAACCCTGATTGTTGAAACGTAGTCAGGTGTCTGAAACAATAAAATATGACCTTATCCCACTAACAAGGCCACCCCACTAATATCAATATATTGCCAAATTCATGAAGCCTGTTAGTGACCATTTTATCCCAAGGAGGTACTTCTTAGTAACAGGCTAAAGGGGATGTGCAGCTGGATGGGATAGCATTTTCACCACTGGAGTGTCTACAGATGTATAATACAGGGCTCGAATTTAAATCTGATCCAGTTGTCTGGGACAAGTATATTTTCTTGCTGGGCAAGTAACTTTTACAGCTTACTTGCCCAATGGGTAAGGATCCAGGCAAGTCATCCTCTTACAAAGTTATTGACTAGGACATGCAAGAAGTGGCCTCAGGCAAGAAAAATGTGACAGGTGCTTGCTGAAAGTGTGACATTGAAGTCAAGTTGTAACAGGGTTCACCTGTCCTTTTCTTTGACCTGAAAGCTTCAAACTGTTTCAAATTTTTGTTTCTGTCCATCTTAAATTCATTATTATAGCCTTATAAGAAATCAGATGGCTTTTATAAAGTTATAATTTTTCTGTACATGTAGCTTAAATTGTTAGGATTTTATCTTGTCAATTCCCCAGCTCTAAAATTGTTGTTCGACAGGCCTGTATTAACATTGGTTTCCCTTGTATAGGAACACAGGGGCCTTCTTAATATCAGATATCCTATGGAAGTAAGTGAAAAATGTCCATCTTAATAAAATGTGTATCTTGTACAATGTTGTTTGAAAGGAAACTTTGGCTTGAATTGACCTCAAATCACAGGTGTTGCTTGATTTTTTATTTACTTTGTCTTGTACTTGCATTACAGGCATCATAAATCAGAAGCCAAAAACTGATGATCAAATTAGGCTGAAACCACCTGAATTTCATCCTAAACTATTATCCATGCTTCAAAATACATGTACTGAATCCCTAATTCGATACAAGCTACAATATTACTTAAGAGACAACACATCTCTATGGTTGCGGGGTTGATCTAGTGGATATTCAGTTGGTGCCCATGCACCACCTTCTTACTGTTCTTTTCACTAATTTACACATGAACTCTGAAGTTCAAAAGCCAGCTCAAGTTTTTGTTCCTCACTGCCATCAATCATCTAAGTTGACCTCTCAAGAAACAGAACTTTGCTTCTATGAGTTCAAAACAGCAGGGTTTGTGATTTGTGATTGGTGAATTTCAATCCATTTTATGTGTTTCTGTGTTTCAGGGTTTGTTGCATGTGATCGTAATAAAAAACAATTACCATTGCAGCAGCGAAAAATGCATTTTTATATTGTAAGCTGCCTATAAAAATTCCAGAGTTTGTCTGTTATTGGAAAGTGTAGTAACTACAATGCTGCTTTTGTCTCTGAGGTGAATAACCCCACTCAAGCTCTTCTCAATACCCACACATTGAGAGTCAACCAGCTTCTATAAAATGTTACTGAACTGAACGTGGGAATACATTGTTCTTACTGTATGCTCTGTATTAGTACATTGAGGATTAATAATATTCTTTGAGCTTTCAAAAGATATTATTATAGCCAATTACTGTACATGTACATGTAAGTACCGTTCACTTTGTTTGCCGTAAATGTCTTCATCCTTTTTGTTTTAGCATGGTGTTGTGCGAGATTGGAATGATATGGAAAGAATATGGCAGGTAAGTCCTGCAAATTGCCCAGTCCCTATAATTTCTGTGAAGTAGTCACTCAGTTTTAATTTTTATTAATTTTATTTCTCTTTTATTTCAAGTATATTTATTCCAAGGACCAGCTCCAGACCTTTTCTGAAGAGGTAAACATTGTGTGTTTGTGAATTTTTCCATACATGCTTTGTCAATCTTAGATTAACAAACAAGTTGTCCAGAATAGGTTCTTTTCAGTGCTTTGTTAGCATAAGGGGTATTTTACTGTAAATCTATTATAAATTAAACAATGAAATAAATACTATATACAATTTATAACATCAACAACAACAAGTTAAGTGAAATGTGTTGTGGGTTATAATGTATGCTGTACACAATTTTGAGTACTGCTCTTAGTAAGACATTTTTATTTTTCGGTGCCATAGGAATCTGCATGTTGATAATTTTTTGATACAACTAGACTTTGTTAAGTCTTTTTTAACGTTTCTTTTTTGCCCCTAGCATCCTGTTTTATTGACAGAAGCACCTTTAAATCCACGAAGAAACAGAGAGAAAGCTGCAGAGGTAAAATTCCTTTTTCAAGGTGGTAATTGGTTGTCAGTAGTAGTGGTAGCTACAGAAACAGTCATTTTCACTGAAACAAGTTTTACTGCATGATACAGTAATGAGCACTATATGTGTGCCTGGTACATGTACTTATCCCAGCTTGGTTTATGTCGTAGATATTTTTTGAGACATTTAATGTACCAGCCCTCTTCATCTCCATGCAAGCAGTGCTTAGTCTGTAAGTATTGAATGCTGCTAATTTTGTATTTAAAGGGGAGCATCAGAATTTTTTGCTTCTTATACCTTTTTTCTTCCAATTCGTGTATTAATCACCCATCCCCTCACGAGTCTTATCACGAGTTCACAAACAACAATTTTGCTTTTCATAAGTAACAGAGCAAATATTTAGGTTTCCACAGGAAGCCAGCTGAAGGTGAGTCTGAGTGCACTGAAGTGTGCAGTTACATCAAAAGACTCAAAAGTGAACTTAAATCAAGCCACCAGACACTAGTTAAGGTCGTTTGGCCTTGAATTAATGATTTATTTTCTTCAATTGATCTTCAATGTGCGTGTTCACATCTAGGATTTTGGCAGTTCACGTTTAACAGAGTGCGCTTCAATCACGATTCACAGAACACTTTTTCAGTACATCACGATTCACGGACAAAATGGTCGATCATGGTGTCACGAAAACAAGCTTGCCCCCTTGCCCCCTCCCCCCACTCCGACCATGGCTCTCACAGGTTCAGAGCATTAGGCTCCCTAGTATTCTTCTTGGAGCATAGCCTTGAAAACTAATCATATATGTATACCTTGCAGTGAGATGCTTTGGGGAAGGACCTGGGGGCTTAAAGATTAAAAAAGAAAGTGTCTGGAGAGTGCCTTCCTCCTCAAGGTCTGGACTCACCACTGACATAAAATCCGTGTTGTGATATTTTGTCATTAAGTTATTGTGATATTGTTGTTTGTGTTCAGATATGCAACTGGTCGCACAACAGGAGTGGTTTTAGATGCCGGTGATGGAGTGTCACACTCAGTGCCAATCTATGAAGGCTTTGCTATGCCACATTCTATTATGAGAACAGATATTGCTGGCAGGTAAGTGACTGTGTTGGTTGTTTGTTTAAAGTAAAGCTTTTGTTTTCTTTTACCAAGGTGCTAAAAAAAATCCAGATTCAGTCTTGATATGTTTCATATTCAACCAGTCTAAATATAACTTCATCAGGGTATACAGTGTACATGTACCAGTAGTTATTGATTACTTTTGGTTTTCATTTTATTGGAATGGGGCAATTTTTGGTCAGTTATTGTCTGGAGTGACTGACTGTTACTTGCAGCCATGTGTTGTTTGCGCTAGAAAACCAGTATTTTCTGCACAGTGGTGAACACCTTTATGATTTTAGCTCTTTTATCAACAGAGATGTAACAGCCTTTTTAAGACTACTATTAAGAAAAGAAGGATTCAACTTCCATTCTTCTTCAGAAATGGAAATAGTAAGGACCATCAAAGAGGTAAATTATTAATTGTTCCGCTGTCACAGCTTTGACAATAAACTACAAACAATAATTTTTTTTAACGTAATGGCACTGTATGAAATTACCACAATTCCTGTACAATGTACATCATTGCTGTAATTTATACAACTTTGATTAAGGTTTTGTTGTCCTTTTATTCTTTTCTCAAACATACCTGATGCTCTCATTTTTTTATTTCAGCGTGTATGTTACCTAGCACTGAATCCACACAAGGAGGTGAGAAAACTTTTACCAGCTTTCATAATGCAGTGTGAACATGTAATAATCCAAATAAGCATGAACTGTTGTTAATAACTGATATGATCAATCTTTACCAGGAGTCACTAGAAAGTGAAAGAATGCAGTATGTTTTACCAGATGGAAGTATGTTGGAGGTGAGTTAACAAATAAGTTCTGATATAAAATTTTATATTTTTCTGAAAGTTTTTAAATGCTGTACATGTAGGTACATAGAGAACGAACGCTTTTGGCATGTTGATGAGCACTACATCTGTCAGTCTAGACCTTTTTTATCAAACCATTCTTGAAACACTTAGAATTAATTCTTTAGAAATTTGGTTTATTTTGTTTAATATTCACAGGTTGGCCCAGCTCGTTTCAGAGCACCTGAACTTCTATTCAAACCTGACCTTATTGGTGAGGAGTGTGAAGGAATCCATGAGGTAAAACTTCCTTTCCAGGCCTCGAAATTTACCCTGTACAGTATAGCTTATATGTTGTTCAAACTTGAGTGTTGTTAGAGTTAACATACTGTGTACCTTGTTTATTTAATTTTTTTTTTGTAAGTTTATGTACATGCTAATACATAAAATGCTGTATTATGTGGTTGAATCTGCAAGTAGATAAGAGGAACCGAATCCTGTGTTCTGATTGGATACCCGAGTAGCCAAGGTGGGCTCGCCTTGCCTGCTCAGGGAGCAGGGAACCTTTTCCCATTTGTTAGTTTAATGAGATATTATTACCTTGTGGTGTCACATTGAATCTTCGACAAAATCTCTTACACTTCTTGAGGCAATTTTGTAAGTTCTTTTTATCCTTGTTTAGGTTCTAGCCTTCGCAATTCAGAAATCCGATATGGATCTTAGACGAGTTCTTTATTCAAATATTGTGCTGTCTGGTGGATCAACACTTTTCAAAGGTGATGTTAGATACCTTGCAGTAAATTGTGTTTTTTTTGTGTAAGATATTTATGTATATGGTAATATCTAAGATATTTTATCCCTTTTTTCAGGCTTTGGAGATCGTCTTTTGAGTGAAGTGAAGAAATTAGCACCAAAAGACATCAAAATTAGGGTATAATGTCATTAATCTGTTTGACACAATAACTCAGATAGTGAGCTTTCTCCTAGAAACATTGTTCTTTTTTCAAGTTGTTCTTTAGCTACTGTATATTGTAAAGCGTAAAGCAATAACTCACATTTATTGTCTCCTAATTAGATTTCTGCTCCTCAAGAAAGACTTTACTCCACGTGGATTGGGTAAGTGGACGTTGCCCTGCCTTTTTATTCTAAACAGCCTTGCAGTTTTATTCTAATGGTTTTGTTGCCTAGGGCAGTAAGCCTTCTTGACACTGTCAACTGTGTTAACACCAAATGTTTAGGTACAGTATCAGGCTGGCAAAATTGAAAATGGCATAAATAGAATGTTCTTTTGTTAAACCAGAAGCATATAACTCTTCTTTCAGTCAAAGACATAAAAGTATAGGCGTTGCAAGCTCAAAGTTTTTAGCCTTGAATTCTCTGATTCCATATTTAGGCAAAATAAAAAAACCCAGCATGGTTCTAAACAGATAAGGGGAAGTTAGACACTTCGGGATTATATGCTTCTGGTTAAACACAGTCCAATGTTTTAGTAGTTGGTCCTTAACTTCAACGTAAACACGGAAAAACAAGCAAAACAAACAGCTTTCAAGGTGCAAACAGGTATACCCCGGGCTGTGGCTGCCAGCGATTTTTTGTCACATGCATTATACAAGCTGCTTTGAAGTCGTCCGCTACGAGACAAAAAACGGGTCACTAATAAGACTTTCCGAAACTGTGCATGAAAAGCCTGTGGCACCCGGGGTAAACAGGGTACCAGTTCTTGTTGATGATTATTTTCATTCCTGTCCTACTGAAATAGCTGTGCTCATCAAGCTTGCGTGGTCAGTTAGATGCTAATATTTACTCTCTTGTCCGTCTTTCAGTGGCTCCATTTTAGCGTCTTTGGACACATTTAAGAAGATGTGGGTTTCTAAAAAAGAATATGATGACGAAGGTGCTAGAGCCATACATCGGAAGACATTCTAAAGTTATCTGATCCGAGTTTTTTTAGTTAAATTATGTAGATCAGATATGATAGGGAAATTTTGTTTAAAGGTGAACTGAGATTGTATATAAATATAATTATATATGGGCGGCTGCCATTACTCGTGTCTGCTTCAGGATTTCGCTGAAATTCTGTATACATGACACAGACAGTCAAGTATGTCCTAAGTGTCAAGCAGAGATGAACAATCTCCTAGATCGTCTTTAGTTAACTGTAACAAATTGTAATGTTGAAAATGAAAGTGGCTATCGTTTTTAGTAAGAAAGGTGTCTGCTTAGAGCAAGCTTAGAGCCAAAAGTCCACAGTAAATTCTGTTCAACTTCGTTCCCAGGATCTCTCTTTATTTAGGAATTGAAAGGAGAGAGACCTGGTGAGGAGGTTGGACACTGTTGGGTCATTGACCGCTAAATGTCCATCTATGAGAAGAGCCTGCATGAAAGAAAGTCGAACAATGACTGAAATATGGCAGCGACCAATTCTAGGCGTCCATTTTAGGGAGATAGGAAAGAGTTGACTGTAGTGGGAGTTATTTATTTGCAATAATTCTTAGTTTTCTTGTATCGGCTCCTGCTCGTAAGGTTATGGTCAAGTCGCCCGAAGAAATGTCGCCCGGATTCATTTAAAACTGTAGCCCTTCTCGGCTCCGCGAGAACTCTCACACGCGCTAAAACAATTCCGCCAGCTACGCAGGCAATGCCTTTCCAAGCTTATTCGTTTTCATTTTCTTTTTACGATAAATCATCAAGAAATCATTTCTCGCCTTGCTGGTATTTCTAATGTGCGACACATTTTAAGCACCTACCTGTCGCTTAAGTTGAAATTTCGACTGGGGGCCTGTTCAAACGGAGAAGGGGGACCCCAGGTAGGTGAGCTAGCCTAACCCGCTTTGGTGGGGTAACCCGCCTTTCTATATAATCTCTCATTTTAAAATGATCACGTTTACATAATAGGTGGGGTGACCCGTCGCATTTTATTTCATCTATCTGGGGTCCCTCACCTCCAGGTAAACAGGCCCTAATTGTATTCTCGGTTTCGGGCGAGATAACCTCGGGCGAAATGACCGTCAGAGTAAGATTCAGACTCATACCCCAAAGCCGGAGGGCATCTCATCAGCGGGACAGCCCCTCGGGAATTGGAAGTTTTACCACAGAATACGGGGTTGAACAAAAGCCGCCTTGTCATGAATAAACTTAACATAAACATTATGTAAATGTGGTTCATTTGGTTTGTTCGCCTCAACAACGTAAAATATAGCCAATGTGGGGTTTTGTAAAGTACCATGACCATTGATCACAATGTCTGCGTCCATACGGCTGGAGTCAGCGCAATACGGTTTCTTGTAGCAAAAAATATGGGAATAAAAGTATTAAGACTTGCCGAGGCTAGTGTATTTATAGGTTTCTCCTAAAAAAGTTAGAAATGCCAGGAAGGTGTCTGGAAGACTTAAAAGGTTTAGAGAGACTTCAAGCGACTAACTATCTCTTTTAACCGCCCTGTCCCATCTCTTCCCCAGCATGCTAATTTCAACTTAAGCTTGCATCTTTCTGTTTCCAAGGCGTCCTTCCTGACGATTAACCGGCCCGCGAGGTGTCTTGGAAAGGATGCGTGGCGCTTCTTTCCCAGATTTGCATCCATCCATTTCGAAGCTGCGCTCGAAATTGTGGCGGTATTGTTTAGAATTGCGTAGTACTGTGACACTCTTTTGGGGAAGGAATTTTGTTCTAGTTTCCTGTGCAGCTCCGTAATGGTCGCTAAATAGCCTGCGCGGCTTGCGCGGCAGGCGCGTTTTTTCCCTTTCTCCCAATCCTCTAGCCTGCGTGCAGACGATTACTAAACTCTGATTAGTACCGTCTGCGAAGCAGCGCAGAGATCCTTGTTCTGGACCCCCCCCCAACCGACTCAACGAATTACCGTAAGTGCGTTTCGAATTTCCCTTCAACCTGATTGGCTGTTATCAGTCTTGCGACAAACAAAACAAAGGTCTTTTTTAACTGGCCAATCGTGGCGCGTACTCAAATCTGGGTACACAGCTGGAAGTCCAGAACAAGGATTTCGGCGCTGTTTCGCAGACGGAGTTAACCAGAGTTTAATTTCGTCTGCGCGCAGGCTACCAATCCCCTTACCCTTCCCCTTTCGATGACTGCTACGCAGGCTATCCGAATAAAGGTCGTAAAGTAAGCAAAAGCGTCCCCAAAGAAGTCCCATGTTGCAATTCGGCGCAACACCCACTCAGTATCACGCGAAATCTTAAAATGACGAATGACGCTCCATTGCTCCATACTTTCTGTTGTTCGCGTGCTGTCAATGCAGAGTACGGAGAGTTTTGTTACGTTTTGTTTATGAGCATGCGAAGGTAAAGCAGACAAATAAATGTCAAGGATAAAACCTTTATTAACATACGTATTAAAGGGCTGACAAAAATAACTGCAATAAATTTCCTTTGGCTTTCAACTTGAAAACTTTTCTCATACTCTAACACAGATTCACTGACTGGAGCTGACAGCTTTTCAGAGTCCTTTACTTTGTTCCTGTTGAAAATAACAAGAGCGTATGTCTCTCAAAAAGTACTCAATGACTTTTTAGTGATGTAGATAACAGTTACAAAGCTATACGCTTGCATGGAAAAAACAGTCTTGTTTGGCGGCCCTGTTGATCTAGAGCAAGCCTAAAGGTCCTTTTTAAGGCGTCATCATTATTAGCCTAAGAAAACAGCCGACATTTCACGACGCCACCACTGGTTTCCCCACGAAATGACGTCGAAGCCAGTGGTACAGTGGCGTCGTGGAATGTCAGCTGTTTTCTAAGGCTACATCATTATTATATAATACCCTTACTGAGCGGGTTTTATCTGTTCTGAGAGTTTTGGAAATTTGATGTTGAAAAACTACGTTTTAAGTGGTCAGTTCTTGCAAGTAGCTTTGGTGGGATGAGGTTCAAGGAGACAGACACTCCGTGATCTTGTCGCTAATTGAACATGCATGCTGCTATTATCTTACCGCTGTCTTACCTGGAAAAGGCTACACTGGAGGGGGATAACTTTAGATCCAGATTACAACACGTCGATGACCCTGAATAACCAAAAAAATTAATTTTAAGACAAAAGTTGCTGAGGACAGTGGACAGTACTTTATGGTCTTTGTATGACATCGTCCATAGGTGCTTAGTCCTTGCGTTTGGTAAATAAAATAGATTTATAAAATTACCTGGAGTAAGAAGTTTCTGGATTCTGATAGGCCGTTTGCGGGCCTGCTCGAGCTCACAGCACACCATATATGGATAGTGAATTTCCACGATCATCTCCAAAGCCCAGACCGTGGCCTGGCAGCCATTATACCATCCATGGCTAAACTTTTCCCCCTTTGTTAAAACACCTAAAACCATTCAATCAAAATAGGACTCTTAATTAACACAGCTTTTCTTTCAAGATTCCCTAAAGACGCTGCCACCAAAGTTAAAAAAATTATTTTTTCTCTTCTTTTGTCTTTTTGAGGACCAAAGCGGTTGTGGACACTAGACATTGTCATAGGATGACATCGCCCATAGGTTTTTAGTCCGGCCTTGCAATTGCGATCGGTAAATAAAACAGATTTATGAAATTACCTCGAGAAAGATGTTTCGGACGGTTCCTAAACGCCTTATACGGAGGAAGCTTTTCCACTAGAATCATCTCCAAAGCCCAGACAGTGGCCTGGCATTCATCGCAGCATCCACATCTAAAGTCTTTCGGCGTCGTATAAACTCTGGTACCTGAAACACCTAAAACCATTCAATCAAAGCAGGACTCTTAATTAACACAGCTTTTCTTTCAAGATCCCCTAAATGCTCCCCAAGGTTAAACTGAATCAATTATTGCCTTCCATTTGTCTTGAAACTTTTTAAAGACCAAAGTTCCTTTGGACACGAGACAGTGTCTTGGGATGACATCGCCCATAGGTTGTTAGTCCTTGCGATGAGTTAACTTAAGTAGTTTCAGTCGTAAATGAATAACATGTATAGGGAGCTTCAAACTCTCTACGAGAATAGCTTTTCATTTGTAACGGACTTGTGGCTGCAGATTTGTGGCTGTCGTTTGTGTTTCACTTAATTCCCCAGCTAACCCCTACTTAGTCTTTGAAACCACAACAATTAAATAGGCAAGGTTTGATACGAATAAAATAGACTACGAAATTACCTGGAGAAAGATGTCCCGGACGGTTCCTAAACGCCTTATACGTAGAAAACTCTTCCACTAGAATCATCTCCAAAGCCCAGACAGTAGCCTGGCAGCAATCATACCATTCAAATCTAAAATCTGTCGGGGTCATATAAACTCTGGTACACGGAATGCCTAAAATCATTAGATCAAAATTAACAGAGCTTCTCTTTCAAATTCCTTAAGGGAGCCGCCACCAAAGAAATCTTAATTTTCTTATTCTATTCCAACGAATAGTCCATTCACTTTTGTCAATGAAATAAAAATGCCAACTCATTATTTTCAATGCTCAGTACGAAAAACTTATTGACTCGACATTGTTAATGGACGGCATCCTATGAGCTCAGGAGACTTTCTTCCTTTGTTACTGGTGTTGTTCTGCGAGCAGGCTTTTTTGTGGCGACGAGGAGGTAGCCGACTCTGAACGACGGAAGTTTGCTTCCGTTGCTTGCAGGAAGACATGTTGTTTAGAGTGTTTAGGATCTAAGGAAGCAGAGGACCCTTAGAAAGCTGATGTGAAGCTTGCTTGCAGCAAACTTGTTTTCAATTCCACGCTTTTCGTATCCGGCTTAGAAGACCCTTAAAACGAAACAAAAATACTGAAAACACTTACTATACGAACAATCTTTGGCGATCAATTCTGCTAGGTCAGTTTCCTCCTCTTTTGTAAGAGTAAGTGAACTCAAACAATCTGAAGTCACCAAGGGGAGGCCATGTACTTCATCGCAGGATTTGTCCTTGCTAAAGATCAGGAAACAAATCGTATTTTAATAGTGGCAAGCAGCATGTTTCTTAAGGCTGCATTTTAAAAAATAGGTCGCCGTCTTAACTAAATCTAACAGAAAATGACTCAAATTATGCGCGGGCTTAAAAGAGCGTACGACGAATGACTGCTTTTATTCTCCTTTACAAGGGCTAGTTGAGCACTTCCGTTTGATCTTTCCTGTTAGGACGTAAGCTCTTAGTGTTAAGATTGAACGTTTTTCGGATACAGCCACTAAGTACATGATAAATATGTTTAGCATAAAACTTACTCAAACGAATTGGAGGAAGAGTATTCTACGGGACCTGCGAGAAAAAAAAGAGACTTTTCATAAGTTAAAATCTCAACGAAAACATCAAATCATAACACGTTAATCGACGTGGCAACGAAAGGCGCAAAGCCTTTTGAAATCTTTGGAAGTAATTTTACAGATCGCTGGGACCCTGTCCTTTTTGTGTTTCTTTCATGCTCTCCACAAAAACGACAAAAAGATTCCTTATTTTAATTGATCATGATACAAAATATACTATTATAACTATTATTAACAAAGCTCACTTCAAATCTGTTAATAGACTGCACTGTGCAGCCCATGAAAAATCAACGTCAGATTGAGGCCGAATTACGATAGTGTGATTGTGAATTACATTTTTATTAGTTATATCAGTACCTGAATCCTGGCAGTTCAGTGACCGTTCCATTGCGTGATGACGCTGAACTTTGTCTGGCAGGAAGACCTGGCCTGAAATTTGGAATGTAGATCGATGTATAATGACTTTGAGATGTTCCAAATCGATAAAAGTTCAGTGTTTTGCAGAGACTACGCTCTTAGTCGACTTTTCTAATTTTTCATATTACATTTCTGTCGTATAGTATTCCATACTACACTACTGAGCCCCCAAAAAGGGCGAATTTCCTTTTCGACCGTGGTGCAATAAATTTCTTATTTACGGGCTGACCTTTGCGGAGATTTTGTAGTCGCTCCTGGCTGGTAAAGGTTGGTATCTAAAATATTTAACAATTATTCCTCGAGCCCGAATGAGCTCTGAGTCAATAGCTCATGAGGCCGAATAATTGTTTTAGTAAAATCCAACTAGTTGGTCAAAAATATCCAGAATAACAAAAAATTTAAGCTAGTTAAAGCTAGACTTTAATCCTTTTTTGCCGCCAAAAAGCCCGCGCTTGTCGCTACTAGTGGGCTATAACATATAGCCTAGTAGTAGCTCAACCAATCAGAACGCAGCATTGATGATAGACCACTAGTTGGATTTTACTAACTATTAATATTACCTGGTGAAAGAAGTCGCGGGATTCTTGTGGACAGTTTATGAGCCAGCTCGGGCTTACTAAACACCATGTATGGAAATGTCATGTCCAATACGATCATTACCAAAGCCCAAACAGTGGCCTGGTAGCCACAATACCACATCATGCATAACACAGTCAAGGGTTGAAAAATGTTGCAATCAGCTCCTTGATTATTCTCTTTCATGCCAGTTAACTTGCTTGTGTTTCGTATATCCACAAACGATTGAGACTCTGCTTCAGAGGATGTAAGCGCCGATGAATTTGACGACTTAAAAGAGCGGCTTCTAATAGAATATCTGAAAACAACAAAGACATACCTTTCTCGTAAAAGGTGCATTTTCTTTCTTGTTTTATTTTGCTTCAAATCCTTCCTTATTAATTCGTTTAATGATTAATTTAATGCATTTATTCATTGATTTACTTATTAATCCCGATTTCTATATTTGCTGGACAGAAGTCTAATCGATGAAGCAGACTTTTCATTCTCCCGGAATCCTCTCTTACTCAGCGTTCGGCTGAGATTTTATGGTCGGGTATCAGTTAAACGCTGACGTACGGGTGGGGGCCGGGGTTTGTTTGTTCTTTCGTTCCTTTTTCATTTTCGATTATTGGTTAGGGGAAAAAAGCAGGAAACGAAACAAAAGAACAATGGAACAAGACTCCGAGTCGGCGTTTTTTCTTAGATTCAGATTAGGACTGAGGTTTTGACACGGAAAGGCATCAATATGATCGTGTTTAAAGCTTCAGTTCAGATAGTCAGTACACTTGCTTGTTAAAAAACTTCAAAAACACACGTTTTCATGTTTTCAAAAATTGTTTTAATTTGGTGCTCGATTTATTAATTAAGGAGAAGCGATTATTTCGCTTTCCACTGACCTTGAAGAGTTGGTACTGAAGGATGTGGAGCAATTAGTCGAACTAGAACCTGACACAGATGAACCTGAATAACAACAAAGAAAGGTTTGGGCAGGAAAACTACAAGCAGTGTTAGCTCTTTTTTGTTTGAGAGATTGTTTGAAAATGACAGCAGATGAACTGGTAAGATTGTTTGTTGAGAAATTTCTTTCTGATACGTTCTCTGAACTTGACAGCTTGAAGATGGGTGATGTCATCAACGTCAACCTTCTGAACATCGGCAAATATCAACTGAAGGTTTTTGTCTACTCGACTTCAACGACTGTATATTATTGATCGAATAATTAACCTCCTGATTACCTGATTATCAAATTAACATTTATATATAGTTGCACGCTCACAAATGAGTATCGAACAGAGATAAATGAAAAAAAAAAGGTTTTCTGTTCTGGCGGAATTTTTTTGAAGAAGACTTCGCTGATCATGATGCACGCAGAGTGCTTTTAAACTTAGTCAGCGTTGATGGGAGCAGCCCAGCCCTTTTTTTATGTTTCGTCTAGAATTTCATCATCTTGAGGTAAGAACGAAACAAGGAAATGAAAGGCACTTACCGAGCAAGCAAGGTTTGGCAATCAATTCAACTCGGTCGGTTTCATCCTGTTTTGTCAGAGAACAACTCCGCCGACCGCACAAAGTCACCGAAGAAAGTTCATCTGCTTCATCACGGTATTTGTCCTTGCTAAAAATCAGAAAACAAATCATTGTAATTAGTGGAAAGCGACACGCATTCAGAACAAAAAACGCTGAAAAAAGCCTGCTTCTAATAGTAAGGAAATTAGAGGCAACATAAATTGGTTGAACTGATGGACTGGGCTTGTAAGAATGTAGGATACTTGGCCGATAGCCAGTCATCCCAGTCTACTTGTGCCGCTCGCAGTAGCTAGAGATTTCTTTGTTATGACGAAAGGGTTTTTCTTGGGATCCAGCTGAGTCACCAACTAAGCACACGATATGTGTTAAACATACAAACTTACGCAAGGAAGTTTGAAGAAACGCTTTCTGTTAAACCTAAAAAAAAAAAAATACAACAGCCTCGTGAGAAGTTTATATCCTTACAAAGATATCAATCATAACTGAAAACGTCAAGCGACAATGTCTATTCTTGGAACGAATTCTGTTTTGCAGGAACGCCGAGCAATGCTTTGTGCGGGCTTCACGCTTCTAGAGAGAGTAAAAAATTTTACAGGCACCGCCCAGGGGAAAGGAGACAAAGCCCTCACAATCGTGCAAGTCAAAAGCAGTGTGCAGTACTAGCTTGGTATTGTTTACCCACCTTGCATATTAAACCAAGGATGGTTTAAAATTTGTCGCAGTGTCGGTCGATTCATTGGTACAACATTCAGCAATGAGCTGATCAAGTTCTTGGCCTCTGTTGAAATGAAATTAAGTAATAAAAGTTGATATGTAACAGTAAGACTTTAAAATATATCAAATGTAGCAGAACTTCTGAGCTAGTCTAGGTTTTTTCGATATGCAATAGGGAGCTCAAAATAATTACAAACGTGGACGTTTTCGTTGAGACTATTTGTGTCCATTTTATATTTGGGGCAGATAAATTTAACAAGGCTATACATAAGTCTTATTTGAAGGCCAGATACTTTTTAAGTAACAGACTGGATTCCCTTGTTTTTCCTTTTTATTGTCGCAGTATAGTTCTCTTACTTATAAACGAAATTTGCTATGGACAACGTATTGGGTTATCATTAGCCCTAGAATTTTGTTCTACAAGCTTAGTAAATAAAACGTATTTATTCATAATATTACCTGGTGATAGATGATGTGGGATTCTGGGAGGCCTGCTATAGGCCTGTTCGGGCTTACTGAACGCCATATATGGAGAGAGCATGTCCACTAAGATCATCCCCAAAGCCCAGACCGTAGCCTGGCAGCCATCATACCATCCAAATCTAAAATATTCCGGCGCCATATAAACCCTGGTACCTGAAACATTTAAACCAATAGCTATTTAAGTCAAAAACGGTTTGCTCAACGCTTTTAGTTTTTTTTAAAAAAGAGCTACTATTAAAAGTACGTTACTTCTTTTTCACTGAAACATACTGAAAAAAACAAACCAAAAAATAAAAAACAAATAAACAAACAATTAAAACTGACTAACTAACTAATACATAGCCTATACCTCTAAACAAATTATAAGGTTCATATTGTATCTCAGACGCCAGACCAAAGTCGATTAGTTTGACTTCATCAGCATCCAAATCAACCAGGATATTTTCTGGCTTAAGATCCCGGTGAATAAATCCATTTTCTTCGCATTTGATGTTTGCTTCAATGATCTGTGTGAAATACCGCAGAGCTTCTTTCTCTGTCATTGTTCTATCGAATAAAAGACTGCCCAAATCCTGACAGTTTCGAGGCCTTTCCATGACATAAGAGTAATAGTTTCCAGTTGTAAAGAAATCGTAAATCTTAATCACGTGACGATGTTGAACCTTGATCATCCAATAAACCTCAGCTGGAATTTTCTTACCATTCACCTAAAAGGAAAAATTAAAATACAACGACTCTAAACATTTATTACACTATGGTTATTTTGAACGAGTTCATGAGTATAAATATATTTTTGCTATAAAATAGACGAACTACCCTACGAAAAGAGTCAACCTCGTTCCCAGGGTTCTCTCCTACCCGCCCTACGGAGCGAGAGAGAGAGAAAGACCCTGGATCTCTCTCTCTTTCTCTAGCTCCGTAGGGCGGGTAGGAGAGAACCCTGGAAACGAGGTTGCGAACAGAGTCTCTTTCGATCTTCCTAGATAAGGAAAGATCGAAGCGACTCTGCTAGCAGGGAATAGACGAACGTGATCAAGAGAGAATAAGGATAGTGAGGGAAACGCCCAGTCTCGCCGGCCCTGGGATATGTGAACTTCAACTAAGTTATTTTTAGATTAATTAAACTTTTGAAATTAATCGGCAGTTGGTTTCTGGAAGGATCCACAAAATTTCCTTCAGTGTTGACCACAAAAGAGAGTTACTTTGAGGTCGCGTGTGCCGACGTCCCAGGAATTAGACTTCCGTTTTTTTACATCATCTTAAAATAACTTAAGTGAAATTCACATATTCCGGCCACGTGTCCTAAGATTCCCTCTTCTGTTCCATTTTTCTCTGTTAACAAGATTTAATCAAGCCTGAAAAGTGATGTTACCACATGAATAACAGAAATTAGTAAAATCCAAGTAGTGGTCTGTTATCAATGCTGCGTTCTGATTGGTTGAGCTACTACTAGGCTATATGTTATGGTCCAGAAGTAGCGAAAAGCGCCTGCTTCGAAAACCAAAACAACGGCGGCTGAATCGCGTTTTGCTAAAGTTGCATTGTCTCGATATTTTTTACCAATTAGTTGGATTTTACTAAAACAATTATTCCTCTTGCCCTCATGGCCTCTTAGTCAATAGCCCATTCTGCCTTCGGCCTCATGGGCTATTGACTCAGAGCCCATTCGCCCATTCGGGCTCGAGGAATAATTGTTAATGATATGTTCTACTTTTGCTGTTTCGGACTAACCTCTTTAAGGTCCTTAACGGAGCGTTTATCAACAAATTTAATGGCTACCTGAAATTAAACAAAAAATCAAATATAAGAATTTCTTGAAATTTGGATGATTTTGTACCTTTTCACCTCTTTTGTTTCTTTTCTTTTTTTGTTTTTTACATATCATATCCACCTATTTTTGTCTTTTTCTTACCGGCACATTATCAGCCTTTCTTGTGGCAGCAATGACTCGGCCAAATCCACCTTCGCCGAGCTCATATTCCATATGGTACTGATCAAGATTATCTGCAGATTACAAAAATTAGATACGAGAATCTACAGCTAAGTAATGCAAAAACTTTTATACCAGAGAAGCAATTATTTATTCGTTTATTTATTTATTTTATTTATTTCATGGATAGCGCTATTTTTATATTAAACACTCCTACAAAAGAGACCCACTGGACCAGAGATAAAGTCGATTTCGGTTGTTATAAACCGCTTGATATTACTGTTGAGTGGGATGCTCGTCTTTTGCAGATTCCTCCCCTCCCGAAATTTTATGATACAAATTGTCTGAGAAAATATCGCTGTATTACGGTGAGTTGGTCAGAATCCCGGAAAGGTGTGAGGTCCAACGCCTGTAAACGTAGTCTTTTCGATCACGACCCCCTTTCATTTTTGAGTTAATACCTTCCAAGCTGCTGTTTACTATAATTTCCGGTTTGACCTCTTCTTGTTCTTGGATGGAAGAATTCGGCGAATTCGACATCGATATCGGGAAAAGGTCAGCTTGGTCCTTGCTGCTTTTGTTAATACTATTCATTTCCTAATAAGATTAAAATAAAAAATAAAAAACACGTCTTCTCTGAATATCAGTCCCGCTAACCGTAGACAAGGGCCTGGGGAGAACATAATTGATTGACGTGTCGAGTGTTATGTCAGGTGTTGGTCCGCCATTTTTAAAAATGTGCCTTTCTTGTTTTCTTTTTGGTGTTGAAACCAGAAAAAGAGTGTGTGTCTTTTGGACATATTTTTCCACATCCTGACTGAAAATATGAACCCCAAAAGACCTGATGACCGAAACTTGGTAAGCTTTCCGGTTTTTTTAAAAGAATCCTTTTTCCTTTTCTAAACTTAAGCTTCAACTTGAAAAAATTAAGCTTACGTTCACGAAATCTTAGCGCTGATCAAACGGTATTTACAGCGGACTTTAATACGATTCCATCCTTATAATCCTGAAAGTAACTTTGCTCTAAACTTGTTTTAATCAAATTTTAAACAGTAAATATTAGCGCCATCTGTTGGTATTGATTAGAAAAAATATGTCAGTTTCAATAGGAAAAATTCTGTTAAAATTATCTTCTCTTATTCACTTTTCCCTTAAGCTTATGAAATTTGACTTAGTACTATATATAGTAAACGTACTATATGGGTATTTTAGACTTGAATATATATATATTTTTGTCAGCTAACCTTTTTACAGCTGAGCGCTTGACTCTTTCTCTTCCTTGAGTCCTCAACTTCTTTCACGTAGTTAGCGATTTTCGCTTTCACTAAATGGGAGCGATTGCTCGGTCGATCCTCTGTGCTCTTATTATTTTCATCCAACATTGTTAATATGTTGAAAAGTTAACTCAATACGTTTTGAACAAAACTTCCACACTGCATAAAACAGCAAGTCTTTTTGTAACTAACGGTTTCCATGGCAAAAAATTGGTTTCTATGGCGAATTGTGACGTTATTTTTTATTCTGTTGCACGCGCTTGTTTGAAATAATAAAAGCGTGAGCGATAACTTGCCTCGAAAGTAAAGAAAAATGAGTGCGACTTTTCCTCTCTCCTAGTTTAAAAGAGCATATGTTTTGCGGAGTCTTAAAAATATCTAATATAACGCAAATGAAAAAGCTTGCAGAAAATACTACTTCAATGTTGCCGTATGTTTGGATAAGGCCTATTAGAATTTATTCTGGAATGAGAACGTACAATAAGAACAGAATAAAAAAAATGACGTAGGATTTAAAGTGGCAGAATGAAAATATTTTTTGTTCGTGTGTGTGTAGATTGTGAGATGTTCCTCNTAATAAAAGCGTGAGCGATAACTTGCCTCGAAAGTAAAGAAAAATGAGTGCGACTTTTCCTCTCTCCTAGTTTAAAAGAGCATATGTTTTGCGGAGTCTTAAAAATATCTAATATAACGCAAATGAAAAAGCTTGCAGAAAATACTACTTCAATGTTGCCGTATGTTTGGATAAGGCCTATTAGAATTTATTCTGGAATGAGAACGTACAATAAGAACAGAATAAAAAAAATGACGTAGGATTTAAAGTGGCAGAATGAAAATATTTTTTGTTCGTGTGTGTGTAGATTGTGAGATGTTCCTCTTCTAGTTTTTTTATGAGAATACTTTTGGCGCCCAGCGTTTATAGAGCGTTAGCTCTGGGGTGCTGGGAGAAAGGCAGACTAATGGCTCTTATTAAAGCTGTATAACTGACCTGCTGGACCGGCTATTTTGAAATACTAAGATACAGTCTTTTTTCGAGGTTACGCTATATCCCTATCATGTCCGTACAGAGATTTAGGAATAGACTCATTGGTCTAGTTGGGCACAACCTCGTCCCCAACCCAGGGCGCTTTTCCCTGGCTTCACCTCCAAAGCCAGGGAAAAGCGCCCTAAGGACGAGATTGAGTTGGGCAGTGCTAATTAATAAGTGATATTGTGTTTACAACTGGACTGGTCTGGCGGGCCAGAACTGATTTTAGATCTCCAGAGGTTGGCATCTCTGTACAAAGTATCATCCGTGCGAATATTCATGAGAGTGACAAGTTAGTTTACTCTCCAATCTTCATGTACATGGGAATATGGGTTGCCTGTGCAGAGCAGTGTCCAGTCCCTTTCAGCCCTAAGTGCACATGGTGGCAACACGGCGGATTCTTTGTCGCAAGCGGAAGTTTTGTAGTGTTTTACAACTCTTTTCTTTGTTTTGGTTTTGGATCCTTGCAAAAATGGTCCGGCATAGGAAAGGAAAACACGCCCTAGATTCTTCTAAAGATCATGGTGACAGATCTAAATTCACGCGGCGCCGAGGAAAGCAACCTTCATTGAAACCATTTCTGCTGTTGGCAGCTGTTTTTGGAATTCCTCTGTGTATATTCGGAGCGTTTAAACTTTGGAATTACAGATTATCTGCCCGTCTTTACACTCCACTTGACGCACCGTTAGTTGTAAACAAATCTGAGAATGACATGAGCCGCTTCTGGGGAACTTATCGTTCCAATTTGTACTTTGGCCTTAGGTGAGAATCAGAAATTATGTCAATTTTAGTGAAATTTTCAGGGCCATTCTAACAATAACCCCATTTGCTAAGGGGGACTTTGAAATTTATAACTGAGCGGGTGGCTAGACTTTGATATTTGGAGTATTTCTTAGGGATATGGCAAAAAATTCCCTTTTTTGTGGTTGGAAAGAAAGAACAAGCTTTTTTGAGGAGGGGGGATGGAACAGTGCTGGGACTTTCTTTGGGCCAACAGTAGGGTCTGGCTATTAAATGGAATGGACATCAATAGTTTAATGCAAGATAAACTTAGGGTGTGTTCCTTTTGGTAGATTCGACAATAGATTTTTGATATTAAAAGCCATAAAGGGACTTCACATGCCTTTAGGCAAATGCAAGTCCAGGATTTCTAAACTTGTGAATCCATGCTGGATTTGAAATCCACAATATTCACAAATTGGAACTGGAATTGCTCTACAAACTCACTTGTTGACATAGTCGGTACTTGATTGTGTTAGTACATGAAAACTCTATTTGCCACAGATGGAAGACTTATGAAGATCTTAAATTCCCTGATATTCATTGATTAAGAAGGATCTGCTTTTAAAGTGGCGTAAAAGGTCTTCTACATTATTTCGGCTCATGTAGTGAGATGGGTACCACAGCAAAAAAACCTCCCAGGAACTTAAGTGCTTGTCTTAACATGGCACACAAAAGTGGCTTTGACACTTATCTATTATGCTGTATTGGTGAACAACAACCTTTGCATAGTTTTAAACACTTATGCCATCCTTTCTCTGCAATTCATGTGTTACTAGTGCTAGGACTATGTTGGCACTATTTGAGTTCCCGATCACAAAATTCTCCACATCATTTCTTGAGAGGCCATCGTGTTGAAAAAAAAGTTAGTAAGAATTTCCAAGGTTATGGGTCCAGCTTTGGATTTTGTGTTTATTTTGGTTGCAAAAAATGGCAAATCTACAATCCTCGCCAAAAATCCTTGAAACACCAATATATGCATGCCCCTTTCCCTCTGCAATGTTGACATGTGATTGCAAAGTTACGTGGCTACAACAACATTACAAAAAGGAGGGGGAAACAAAAAGGATCAAAATTTTCCAAAGTGTTTCAAGGTTTTTGCTGAGATTGTAGGATCAGACAACTTGTTTTTGGTTCCATCAAAAGGAACACACCCTAAGTATTAATATGATTGAAGCCTGAATAACAATAATGATTGGATGAAAGTATGTCAAACTAGAAAATCCTTTTTCAGTATGATAAGTCGATTCGATTTGATTCATCAAATGGATGTACCATATATGAAGAAAATAGGTCTTAGCTCAACGAGATTTATTTGTTGGAACTTAATGTGCGCATTAAGATACCAAGAGATGGTTGACCATTGCTACCACAGTACTACAGCTACTGAATAACGATACTTGGAATGTTTCATAAATGTAACACATGGTGAAATCTTCTCTAGCAATAATATTGATAGCCATTTGTTTTCCTACAGTAAAGTCACTGTGCTAGCAAGCATTTTTTCCTCATCTTTTTTCGCATGAAAAGATGCTCCTCAATGATTTTCTTTGTTTCCATAACACTGCTTTTCAAAACATACATACTGGTTGAAAAGTTAGACCTATTTTCACTGTTGAAGAGAAACTGGTCAGATTTTTTTTTTTTAAAAAAAGGAAATTCTAAATTTTCTAGGGATGGGTGACTTGGTTTCCCTGTAGAAGTTGTTGCCTTATTGCATTATCAGGAAGCAAATGCATTTCGCTATTGATCCACGCATGAGATGTATCTTCATGAAAGAGAGATGTTAATATTATTGTAACTCATTTTAATAATATTTTTTCACTAGAACACGCAGTCTTAAGTCCTTGATGACAGGATTCATGTGGTTCCCTCAGTATGCTCCCGATGGACAGTTAACCATTCGCCACACTTGTGAACAGTCTGATGGGTTGCTGAAGTATGGTTGGCTTAAGCATGATGGCACTAACTTTGGATCTCAAGAGATAGTCGACAAAGATTTTGCTTTGGTGACAGACTTTGTAAAACGATTAGGTGGAGATCATGGAGGGGATTGGACTGCAAGAATTTCTGGCAAAGAAATGGTTTGTCCAAATTTACTATTAAAGTATAATATCTGCTTTATCCCAGAAGTATTCCTGTTGCCTTTTAATACCCGTTATGTACATGTGTATGTATGCAACAGGGATAAAGTAAAGTGGAAAATGGTAGCTTGAGAAAACAGCCAACTTTTAAGTTTTTGCCATATCACCACTGGTGTCCCCACAAAATAATGCCTGAAAAACAACTGCAGAAATTCCATACTAATGAGGCGTAACTACCCAGATCTTTGTAATGTTCCTGATTGGTTGAAATTTGCTTCAACCAATGAGAAGCACTACCCAGATCTGGGTAGTGACACCTCATCAATGTGGAATTTAAGCGGACGTTTCTCTCAAATTATTTTGTGGGTAAACCAGTGGTGGTGTCACAGAATGTCAGTTATTGTTTTCTGAGGCCAAGAAAATGGCTGCCGGGCCAGAAAGTGATGGGGGTAATTTCTTTCGGAACTTTGTGGTAGTCAATTATGTGGGTGTTGGTTAATATTGTTGGTAAACAAATAAATCTTACCCTTAGAGGGTGAGAACTCTGTCAGTGAATTTTAAGATCAAATGATCATGAGCCCAAAATGCGAAAATTACAACTAAGTCAGTGTCCAACAATATCTGTGTCTTATCCTGTTCCAGACATTCAGATAGCGGAATGTAGCGCAAAGTGAGAGAGTGGGGAAAAATAAGAAGGGAGAGAGAGTGAACACCCCCACCCCCTCACTGTTTTTGCTACTCACATCTTTTTGCACCATCCCCACAATCTGAATTCCTGGCTATCTGTGTCTCTGCCTCTGGTTATTTTAGTTCTGGAAACATATTTCACATTGCTGTGTTTTAAGTTGATGTCAGTTCTGATGGTAATTAAGGACCAAGTGAAGTAATAGCAATCTCAGGCTGTGTTCACACTATAGGAGCTAGATCTTCATGCCAACATGAAAAGCTATCCTGTATAGGATAGAGTGGTCTCTTATTGTTCTTTTGAGTCACAGTAGATCAAGAACATGCATAGGGGGCTGGTGAGCAGCGAAGTAGCGAGGAAAGAGTCTCTCCTCCTTTTTACCATTAATTTGCATAATTTTACTTTTTCTCTCACTGCACGCGGCTCTGTGGAAAGAAGGATGGCCGCTCATGGTCTATATAAACACCTATACAATATCTGAATCTCAACTATAGAGACTGGCACAGCACAGCTTTGCTCTATTACAGAAATGGCACCGAAAATCACTATTCTTGTGTGTCAACAGAAGCTCTATCCTGTATGGTTTTCAGTGTTAAGGCTGATTTAGATGGTACGATTTTTGCTTAGGACTATTGTGCACGACTAGCATATGTCATGACTTCACGACAGATCGTATCAAGTAAATTTAATTAGACCCAGGACATTCATATGACACATTGCTGGATGTCGTAATGAAAATTGTGCATGTGTGGTGGTTGAAAGTCATGGTGTATGCTAGTTGCACACAATAGTGGTAAGCAAAAATCACACCGTGTAATTCAGCCATTAGGAGTTTTATGCTTTTAATGCCATTTCACCCACAGCGTTTAAATATTTAAAATATTATTTTAATATTTAATTATTATTAATTATTATTAATAAATTATGACAATATTGGTTAATTAATATTTTCATATTACTTAAGAAAAGAAATTGAATACTACCTCCAAATAGAAAAAAGCTAATCATAGTTAATTTGGGGTTTTGTGAAGAATATTGTCCTAAAGAATTTTAAAGGCCAGGGTTTCAATTTTACTGGGGTCCACCTGAGTAACCTTGTAGACGCTTTCCACCAGCTTTTACCTCTTTCCAAATCTTTGCTTTTCTAGGGTAACCCATCCCAGATTGTGTCGTTGCTCTTTTATGTGACTCATGAAGGAGAAAGCCACTTTCAACCTGTCATCCAGAAAAATGCGCTTACAGCACTCCATGGCAATACACCCGAACTTGGTTCGTTCACACTACACTTTGCTCGCCCTGCTCGAGTGGTGTTCTCGTCGTTTCTTGCCGCTCACACGCCAAACGTGCACTCAGTAAAGGATATTGTGCTGCAGAACATGCGAATGGCTAAACTCAAGAATAAAGTACAGCTTCTGTCATTGGGCGGCCATGTGACGAGCCGTGACCAGGAAGGGCGTGAATTGCCAGTGAACTTGTTTGTTCAGCAATGGACACTTGAGCTCCCTTTCGATATGGAGGTTGCTTTTGAATCTGGAAGTTTCGTAACCAGAGGGGTACGGTTACTAGGGTCAACATTTGCAAGTCTCAAAGACGAGCTCAGCTCTGAGTTTGACAGAAAGTTTGAGGAGAAGTTTCCGCTCTCTGCCGAAGGGTTCAGCACTGATGAGGTACAGTTCGCTCAGGCGGCGCTGAGCAACATGGTTGGAGGGATCGGATATTTTTATGGCAGCTCAAGAGTGATTTCTCGGTATTTTAAAGAACCAACAGATTACTGGAACAGTGCATTGNGGTTTCAATTTTACTGGGGTCCACCTGAGTAACCTTGTAGACGCTTTCCACCAGCTTTTACCTCTTTCCAAATCTTTGCTTTTCTAGGGTAACCCATCCCAGATTGTGTCGTTGCTCTTTTATGTGACTCATGAAGGAGAAAGCCACTTTCAACCTGTCATCCAGAAAAATGCGCTTACAGCACTCCATGGCAATACACCCGAACTTGGTTCGTTCACACTACACTTTGCTCGCCCTGCTCGAGTGGTGTTCTCGTCGTTTCTTGCCGCTCACACGCCAAACGTGCACTCAGTAAAGGATATTGTGATGCAGAACATGCGAATGGCTAAACTCAAGAATAAAGTACAGCTTCTGTCATTGGGCGGCCATGTGACGAGCCGTGACCAGGAAGGGCGTGAATTGCCAGTGAACTTGTTTGTTCAGCAATGGACACTTGAGCTCCCTTTCGATATGGAGGTTGCTTTTGAATCTGGAAGTTTCGTAACCAGAGGGGTACGGTTACTAGGGTCAACATTTGCAAGTCTCAAAGACGAGCTCAGCTCTGAGTTTGACAGAAAGTTTGAGGAGAAGTTTCCGCTCTCTGCCGAAGGGTTCAGCACTGATGAGGTACAGTTCGCTCAGGCGGCGCTGAGCAACATGGTTGGAGGGATCGGATATTTTTATGGCAGCTCAAGAGTGATTTCTCGGTATTTTAAAGAACCAACAGATTACTGGAACAGTGCATTGTACACTGCGGTTCCTTCTCGTCCATTCTTTCCTCGGGGATTCTTGTGGGACGAAGGTTTCCATCAACTGCTCATCAGCCAATGGGATGCGAAAATCAGTAAGGACATCATCGGCCATTGGCTGGATTTGATCAATATCGAAGGCTGGATTCCGAGGGAGCAGATCCTCGGCGACGAAGCACGAACGAAGGTACCCTCGGATTTTGTCGTGCAGCACAACGAAAATGCAAACCCACCAACCTTGATTCTGCCAATCAAGTGGATGCTGGATAAAGGCGTATTGGACGATACGTATCTACGAAAGATTTTTCCTCGGCTAAAGGCTTGGTTCAATTGGTTTAACACCACTCAACTGGGTAAACTACCGTCAACGTACAGGTGGCACGGACGAGATGCTAAGACTGACAAGGAACTGAATCCCAAGACACTCACGTCTGGATTGGATGACTATCCACGTGCGTCACATCCCTCGGATGACGAACGTCACGTGGATCTGCGATGCTGGATGGCGTTTGCCGCTGGTTTGATGGCTGACATTGCTAAAGCTGTTGGTGAGAACTCAGACGCTGTGCTCTACAGATCGACTAGTGACTATCTCTCTGATAACAAGCTGCTGGATAAGTATCACTGGTCCTCGAAGGCGGAAGCGTACAGCGATTATGGAAATCACACCAAGCTTGTCAAGCTTGTCCAACGAGCTATTCAACCATCTCAACCAGGCAGCCCCAAGAAAACGGTCCGTATTGTGACTTCCAAGCAGGGACCTACTCTTAAATATGTTAATGCTGTCGGGTACGTAAGTCTGTTTCCTTTCCTGCTTCAAATATTGGACCCGGCGTCGCCAAAGCTTGAGAAAGTCCTGAAGGATTTAAAAGACCCTGAACGTCTCTGGAGTGACTACGGTTTGAGGTCTCTAGCAAAGAGTGATCCAGTCTACAAGAAATACAACACTGAACACGATGCTCCTTACTGGCGAGGAGCTATCTGGATCAATATCAACTTTTTAGCTGTTAGAGCTTTGAATCACTATGCTGGTACTGCGGGACCTTATCAGGAGAAGGCGAAGGAGATATACACCGAATTACGGAACAATTTAATTAAAAACATATTTAGTGAGTACACAAGGTCGGGCTTTATATGGGAACAGTACGACGATACCACAGGACGCGGAAAAGGTTCACATCCCTTTACGGGATGGTCCTCCTTAGTGGTGCTCATGATGTCAGAACATTTTTAACGGTTACCTTTTTCTATAATTATACTTCTCTGTGTGTGTACTGTGAGTTCACATTCGATCACATTTTTGTAAGAATAAAAAATATAGGTATGTTCAATTTGTAAGTTATTAAAAATGAAATCACAGATTAACTCTAATGCCAAGTATATCTAAAGCCCGTTGTATTGGTTCCTGGGACGGTTCGCAATAGGTCATTTCCGAGTACCCCCGGGCCTCTGTATCAAAATCAGGTTAAGTGCTCAACCTNAAGGAGATATACACCGAATTACGGAACAATTTAATTAAAAACATATTTAGTGAGTACACAAGGTCGGGCTTTATATGGGAACAGTACGACGATACCACAGGACGCGGAAAAGGTTCACATCCCTTTACGGGATGGTCCTCCTTAGTGGTGCTCATGATGTCAGAACATTTTTAACGGTTACCTTTTTCTATAATTATACTTCTCTGTGTGTGTACTGTGAGTTCACATTCGATCACATTTTTGTAAGAATAAAAAATATAGGTATGTTCAATTTGTAAGTTATTAAAAATGAAATCACAGATTAACTCTAATGCCAAGTATATCTAAAGCCCGTTGTATTGGTTCCTGGGACGGTTCGCAATAGGTCATTTCCGAGTACCCCCGGGCCTCTGTATCAAAATCAGGTTAAGTGCTCAACCTTTGATATGGAGAAGATTCTTCATTCTCATGAAAATAAAACTCATTATTTTTCAAGGCTGTACACTTGGCCTAATTTTAAAAGTGAGGTTTTTTGGAACTCGGAAGTGGCCTATTTCGTCTGATTGCCGCAGTTGTGAAATTTTTGTGTATTTTTTGTTAGTTTCTTGGTGTTCCGAACGGCTGCAATAACCAAACGACGTAATAGAAAAGATTGAAAAGACACTAAACAATACTCCCACCACGACACAAAAGCCAACCAACAATGATTTTCGGAAAATCAAAAAACACCCTTTTTTTCAAGGCTATTCTTTCGTACCGATTTCTTAAAGAATCAGAAATAAAACTACAGATACTAGTGACTCGCTTCCTCGTTAATGCATATTTATTAACAAATTACTGAGGCACCTCTTTAGAAACAATAGATTCTTACCCGGCATTATTTGTCATGTTTGCGTTTCTCCTTTCCCGCATTCCTATGAACAAAGGCACCAACTCGAGGCTTGGGTTGACAGAATAAAGAGATTTGAAGGAAACTGGGGAAAGTGATCCCGCTGTCCTCGGATCTTGAGGTCCCAAGTACAATCGTATGATGAGGATAGGAGTGAGACTGGGTTAGGCATAACGGCATATTTACAATCTTTCACTGATAAATGGGTCTGAACCCTTTCCCTTCTAACAATGGCGAAAGAAAAAACTCCAAAAAAAACGATGCTATCTCTTTTTATGAAATCCTAAGAAATATACAGTACTGAATAAATAGTATCATGTAAAAGTACTGTTGAAGAGGTTTCATTTGAATGGTAACACCATAGGATTTCGTCCACAGATTTAAAAGTTAGTGTGAAAAATGACCTCGCCATAACTTGAACTAGGAGACAAAACGGGATTAAATTGTCCTCGCGGTGGTTGCGCGATCGTCAGTCCACCATTATTAAAATGCACAAGGACGAACGATTTCCATGCAAGACGGATCATCTAATTTTCCTCGTGCTATGATCTTCACAGGTTTGCACAACTGAGTTCAATGCTTTACGTTTCCAGTGCTCGTGTCAGATACAACTGAAAATTGCTATCATTGGTCTTTTCCTTTTCAACTCGAGGCCAAAGGAAATCGTTCTCTCTCCATCTCGGTCGTCTTGGATACCACATAACAAAGGCGGAAAGAGACGGAAAAGCTTCCTTCAGTTCTGCTTTTCGTCTCAGTGCCTCGGAAATGCATTTACTTCAGGATGTCTGCTCAGCTGGATGAAGAATATCACTAGTTGAACTGAAAAGGAAAAAAAAATCAAAAATGCAAGCTCATGTTATTGTATGTCTGGTTTTCTGTGGGTATAGGGGTAGGGGTACGAAAAAATACCACTGAAAAATGTGCCCTGACTCTGTGTAAAAAAAAAACAGTGGGGTTGCTATTGATTATAAATGAAGTTTTACCCTACTGAATACTACAGACAAAATTCAGCTGCGTTCATACCAGTTAAACTATGAAGGCATCTAGTATCCAGTTAGCGTTATGTTTTAGCATTTCTTTCAGTATTTCTAGCTCAGCTTTGAAAAAGGTTTTTTCCTTAGTATTCACCAACTATTGTTGACAGCCTTGATTTAGCAGCCCTACGCCGCGTCCTATGTCTCGTCCCAGCCTCATTAAGAGTTTACTACGGAAGCATACTGTCTAGAACTAACTTTTGATTATGGACTGAGGACAAATCTTTTAGTGAGACTATTCAAATAAAGCCTCTTGAATTGGAGTTTTGCATGGTGTAAATGTTTCATGGAATCCTACAACTCAAATGAAATGCGTTACCTATGTTTTAAAACTATGGATTCGGACATCTCTTAACTGGGAGAGAAACGGCGCCACATTCACCAGCAATCCGCGTTAACAAACTACAGATTAGTTTTCTACAATAACTTGATTAGCAGCGTTTTCGGAAACAAAAATCAACAGACCAGGTCAAACTCCTGAGTTTGCTCCTCTTGCTTCTGTGAATAATGCTGCCTTCGTCGCTCATCTTTCAAACAAAAAAGGAAGAAAGAATGAGAACTAAATAAAGTTTCCCTTGAAGTAAAAAGTGATGTAAAAAAATGAGGTTAAGGGTTGCGCTTGGGACTGGGTCTGTGTCGCGTCTAATGGCATTATGGGATTGATTTGGGTACTATGGCGGTTCTTTTCTCGGCGATTATTTACCTAGTCCCTGTACGGCGTTTTCCCTGGTATTCTCGGTCAATGCATTTCGATGACGTATTCGAGACGAACGGCCGGACCACGTGATCCGAAACGCGTAGGCCGCGCCGAATCTATGAGGCCTAGGGACTAGGCAAGGCTATTACGAGTAACATGAAAAATTGTTCCCCAAAACAGTCTCATACTGCAGCTTAACGCTAACAACACCGTACCAGCGTCATGCGCAACCACAAAAAATTGATTGGAGTCTGTCTAAAGCGCTTACCGAGAACCGACAAGTCACTAAACATGATGTCTATACGTTTCCTGCCAAGAATAAAACAACAAGAGAGAATTAAAATGTGTTTAAGATTCAGTTTCTGAGGGAGTTCAGGGATCGTACTCTTTTAGGTTCTTCAATTTCCATCACTTTCAATTAATTTTTCCACGACCTTGGGCTTAGCTGTCGGCACTTCCATTTGCCTTGTTTTAGGGTATTTTTTTGACCTAAATCAGTTCAACAAACAAAAACTCTGGTGTTCACGATAATGGTTGCCGCTCGCAGTTTTTAAATACTCGTCTCTATCTTGCATCACTCTTGCTTTGACATCTGCAGTAACAAATCTGCCAAACATAACTTGAACTTCCCATGACTTTCCAGGAACGACAATTAAATACCATGACTTTCAAGGCCTGGAAAATGAAATTCTTAAATGACCCTTTCGAACCCTGGGAGGTGAGAAGCTGCTCCACTGTAGCTCACTGAACAGTGTGTCCGCTCTTACGAACGAATTTTCATTACTCACCTTTCGGACGTAGGAAGCTTACATACATCATAGATCGTTAAACGCCTTTTCCTGTTTAAGTTGTATCCATACTTGGCCATCAGTTCAAAAACTTGCTGAGGATAAAAGGACAACGCATTTTAAACATTCAGTGGTGCTGTTTTATTTAGGCAAGTCACGTTTCGATGTTTTTTTGGGTGAGCGTAGCAAATAATAACGCTCTCGAACTGTACAGGATGTATGACAGAACTGTGATGTTAAGGAATGATACATTGTATAAGCTTTACAAAGTATCCACCTTCCTTTTGATCAAGGTGAAAGAGATAATTTGGAAGAAGGAGAATGCCAACAGCAGAATGTACAGAAAACATTTCGGAGCTCCAGGTGAGAATCGAACTCGCTACCCTCCGTGTTCTAGTTCGGACGCTCCAACCACTGAGCTACTGAAGGCTCTATCGCGAGCAGGGTCCAAATTTAATTATAACTACACCAGTCATAGAGGACTAAGGTCAAAACTCACCACTACTCTGTCTTGGTCACCATCGTTCATAGCCTTTAGTAAAATGTCGTTAAGTGCGGAGTATCTAAAAAGAAGAAACAATAGGTTTTTGCAGCTGTCAAGTTATTGAAGTGATGTACGACGCCCCTGTCTCCTCAGTTTAATGTGTTAAAGACAACGAGCGACGGCAGAATTGGCTCAGTTGGTAGAGCGCTTGACTGCAGAGCGGGAGGTCGCGGGTTCGATTCCCGTCACCAAACCAATGCTCAAGGTCGTAAAATAACTGAGAAATGAAGCCATGAAGGTACTCCCTTTGCACTGCAAACAGCTAGACCTTCGCGTGGCTCGGATAACCACCCAAAATGGCGGTCCCGTCTCCAGTTGGAGACGTTAAAAAGTGTCCTCAATTAGTACTTTCATGCTAAATACATTAGACACTCGAATAAGGTACATCCTTTTTATCTTTAGCCACCTGGGGAGGTTGTTCGACACACTAGGTTACTGCTGAAAAGAGTTCAAAGAACATTCTTGAAGTACTTACATTGGTACGGGGATTTTGGTGCTCTTAAACATGTCCAGTGCTTTCCTGAAAAGATACAAGCAATTCAGGCTCTTCTGTAGCGAGACCTTCGCGTTTCGCGTATAACGGTATCTTAACTAGTGAACAAGCTACAGGAATCCCATGCTCGGAAAACTAACCGTACAGGAAGTCACGGGCCGAAAATTGACCAATCACAAAGCTAGGAATGACAGCCTTGCAACAATGTGACAATACAAAAGAGGACATTGTCGTTCCAAATGAGACATATTCACGCTCACATCCTCTCTTTGCTTCCAACAAGACAAAGCTTCGAATCTCCTAATAACATCAGGTGATAAAAAATCAATCAGGCAACAGAAAAAACAACTGGCTGGTAACATCTACTAATTAACCCGGCTCCTTTGGGCAAAATGTGCAATACGCCAGATGCTCGTGGGTCTGGTGAAAACGCAACTCATGCACTTTCAGGG